TGTTGTTCTTTTGATTCTGTTTATTTCACTCTGTAATAGGTCATACATATCTTTGCCTGTTATTCTAAATGTATCCTTTTTGAAAGGCTGTACTAATAACGTGAATAATTGTTTTTGTAGTATAATAATTGTTTTCTAGTAAATTGTATGATACTTTGATCAGGTCAGGAAAATGTCAAGTAGGCTCTTTGGCTGTAAAGGTTAAGAAAGAATGACTTCAATTTGATCAATGTGTATTAACTAAGCTATTATATTTTGGGAGATACAAGGAGAAAGTTTTTTAGAAACAATTATAAACAGTACCTGTATTCAAAATACTCACGTTTATTGGGGAATACAACTTTTAGAACAAGCAACTATGACATAATTTGAGAAGAAACATTAATAATTACATGGGTCAGAAAGATAGGAAGTTGGACCTAACCAGAGCCTGGAAAGAGGGGAAGTATTCTAGCAGGAAATGGTATATAGGGAAAGTGATTTGTAGGCTTGAGGGATGAGATGGGCAAAGTCATGAGAAGTAAAGCTTGACAGTATTTAATGTTTGCTGCTGGCATTGTTTTGGTCTGAAAATGAGAGGCTGATAATTTAGTTTTGAATAAACTTGAAAAAATTGGGAGGAGGGGAATTGTACCTAGTTTATAGGAAAAATTTGCTTTATTGAAGATTGTGGATACCTCTTCTGGGAGGAAAGGGAAGAAGAGTGCTGTAGGGAATGTTTCTGAGAAGTTTGGAGGAGTGGAGTCAAGGGAGGAGAGGCCCCAAACTGACTTTAATTTTCCTAGTGTAAGAGAAAGCAAAATCATATGCTATAAATGCAGAGGGTAAAAGGATGGGGCTTGAGTAAGAAAAAAGTTTTAAAACATTTACATTGGAGGTTAAGATGGAATAACAGGATGATGAATTTTATGGGTTTCTATTTAAATTTGATCTAATTCTGTAAGGTAAAGGAAATGCTTGTTAAAATCTCTTACACTCCTTTGTAGGTTGTTACTGGACTTCTTCGAAGAGTAGATGAGGTAAGCATTTAGAATTTACAGCCTCTAAATTTTTCATTTTGCTCTTTCCTTTTCTTTCCTTCTTAGTCCTTTCTTGTTCTTTCCTTTCCCTCTGTTTTCTGTGCACCTAATTGAAAGAACTTCCTAGAATGGGCTTCCTTGATTTAGGGGAGAAGAAGTACTTGGAAAGTGTACTGGCTTCTCTGTAACAAGGAATTTTCATTAACTCAAAGTAGCCTGTTCTACATAATAGGTGCATCTAAGGGCTTTCCCAGCAGCTTGTACCCACTGTTGCTTTACCATATAATCTTCCTCCCCCTGCTAGAAAAAAAAAATTGTTTTCTAAAAAAGCTTTTCTACAAAAAACAGTCTTTGGAGATATTTCTATGCCCATCATTTTCATGGTATTTGCTGCATTTTGGTGCCCTTGCCACTTTTCTTGTCTTACCAGCTTCTCATTTGTTTGCTTCAGTTGGATTAGAATCACATCAGTTACAAAACTAGAGGAACTTGAAGATGTTTTTTCTGCTTCCTGAAGAATCTTAAAACCCTCTCTAAGTGGTGTGGTAGGGGAGGTGAAAATAGCAATGATTAAAGTGTCAGGAAATTTCTCCACCTGGGTTCCTAAAGTGCCCAGGGAGAATCTCCCTCACCATACTGGAAGTCAAATAATATGAGTGACCATACTGAAAGGGAAGTACATTTACTAATGTACTAAGGGAGATTGCCTCTTGTTGTTAGTAGCACTCCCTAGTGTATAGATTTGATCTATATAGTTTTTCTGCCCTCTCAGAGTACACAGTCAATAAGCAGCATTCTTCAGCATTTAACTGGACCGACGAAAAGCTGATTACGGGGAGTAATGGGAGGTTCAACTGTTGGCTGATTGCTCAGCTATGCTGTTAGTGAAGCTTTCTGAGAAGCCCCTTCCAGTCATATCATATATTTCTAAAATGGTGTCTGTTTTGCCTCCTCAGAAGTCAACTTAATTTCTTTTGTAGATTAGATCCAGTTGAGTCACACTGTAGATCCTCTGGGTCACCTTGTCTAGAGAGACTAGAGTTACTGACCCAAAGACAGCTCATGGGGAATGCAGATTGTATTAAGTCATCAGAGTACAGTAGTGTAAGCTGCAGGATTGTATAAATTAATTACTTTAGATCATCTTGCTGTAGCATATTACAGGTCATGCAGTTTATTGTGATTGATTTATAACATTGGAGTCTTCAGGGTACAAAAGGAAAAGTAATGATTAAAAAAAATTTTTTTTAACCAAAAAGGATAACTATGGATCATACAGGTAGAACTCAAAGGGCCTTTAGAGGTCATGTATATAGTACGACTGTGCATTTTGCAGGTGAGGAAGTTGAGTCTCCAAAGGGTAAAGTGACTTGCATAGGGTCACCTTGTAAGGGACAGAGCTGGGATTTGAACCCAACTCCTCTGAATCTAAATCTAGTGTTCTTTTCACTATATCACTGCCTCCCTCTGTCATGTTTTATTCTTTCTTGAATGATTGTGGTTTGTCTTTAATTCTCAAAGAGGATCATGACATCAAGAAGATGATGCCATGACTTGCAAGTGAATTGGTCTTAAGTGAGGGAGGGCTGTGCAAAGTCACTAGCCTCACTTTCTCTTCCTTAACCATCTGGGTCCAGTGGTGAGATATAGATCAGGACAACTGGAGATGGCCGAGCATCTTGAATGATAAAGCAAGTCTATCTCATAGAGCTGTGGATTTTTAAAATTTAGACAATTAAATAAAATAATGATATTTTAAATTAAAAATATTGGATAAAAATTAAATCTGATTTAATTTTTTAAATGAAATCTGAGTATTTTAATTCTCCATTCAGCATTTGTAAATTGGGAGGAGGGGAGTACCTGATTGATTCTATTCCTCTGTTTTTTGTTAGTGTACTTCCATCAATCTATGTGACTATGGCCCTATTCATCTCACAGAGCTCTTTTCTAACTTGTTGGCACTAGTGGGTTCTCCTGAGTCTTTCTGCCAAATTCTAAGTCATTATTCATTGCGTGGTTTGAAGAAGTGCCCAATTATTGATACCTGGGTACCATTTCCAGGAATGGGGATTATACTGTCCTAACTAACACAGCTGTGGTCTTGTCTTAACCTAACTTTTTCCCATTCTTTCCTTTTTTTTTTTTTTCTTCACTTCTCCAGGTTACCTTCAGTAAGATTCCCATAGGATTTATCCCACTGGGACAGACCTGCAGTTTGAGCAATACACTCTTCCCCGAAAGTGGAAACAAAGTCCAGTAGGTTGTGTATGTGGGAATTTAACATTAATGAATGTGATGGAATGGAAGAAAGAATTCACATGCATGATATAGCTTGTCTCAAAGTGTTGTTAGCTTGTAGTCACACATTAGAGATATAGAAACAATAATTATATGAAAGAAAATGATAATGACAAAACAATACACCAAAATTTCTGGGTTATCACTAAGGCAGTCCTTGAGAGGGAGAAATCATATCCCTAGAAACGTACATTATTAAGTAGAAAAGGAGAGTTTTAATAAACCAAATATTCACTTTAAAATTAGCCTTAAATCTAAAATAAACCCAAAATAAACAAAAAAAGAGGAAATACTGAAAATTAGAGGATAAATTGGTACAAGAGAAGCCAAAATGACTATAGAAATGATAAATAAAACTAAAAGTTTTAAGCCACAAGGAAGGAGATACAGATGTATTAAAATAGTTGTAAATGTTCTAGTAGGATTATGTGCTCTTAATTATCAAGAGAGGAGATACTGTGGGAAAGATAGTTCTTGAGGCCAAAGTTAGGAAAGAATGTTTGAGTAAATGGCCTGACTGTCAAACAGTATATGTTAGTAACACTTCTGGTACCCCATCAGTAGAACTTGGAATTAGAATTGTTATTTAATTTGCTTTGTTTTCAGTGGTAGTAATAATGATTCACCTTTCTAGGTCCCATGGCCAAACATAGTGTACTCTTGTGAATAAGATATGACCAGGGAATTGAGAGTAGCCATTGCTTGAAGTAAGCTTATTCTGTGGCCTCATTGGTATAACCCTATAAACAAATGAACTTAACAACCTAATATTCCTTTTCGGGGTAACTTCAGTAGGCCAAGTCGGTATGTTCAACAGAAGACAAATGCAGCTCTGTCCCCTAAAATATGATAATCACAAACATAATTTTTTTTTTATAACTTTTCATCAGGTGAAGAGTCTTGGTGTAAGAGTCAAGAGACTCTTCTGTCCCTCTTCTGTCCCCTCAATAAAAAGTTTTATAAACCTGATATGGTGCTAACGTGCTTTTTTGGTCATTAGTGCATCTATGTATATTTCAGAACTGTTTTCTATTTTTCAAGCTTTTATTTTTTTAAGTTTAATTTTAGTAGTTACAAAGTACTAGGCCATTTAATGCTTCTCAATGTGTATAAGCATTCCGCCTTCCAAGTGCTTTCATCATACAGTACCTCAGATATTTGACAGGCAAACAAACTCAGATCACATCTTTCATTAAAACTCCCCTAGTGATTTGGCCCTTAATATAACAGGTCAATTCATCCCCAGCCATCCTAAACCAGGGATAGATGCAAGAGGCCAGTGAAATGAGCTGTGCTTGTTCTCTTCAGGTAAGATTTTCAGAGAGGCAGATGAAAAACATTGAATTGATAGGAGTTTTATTTGCCAGACATAAGCCTTCTGTGGTTTGGGTCTTAATTGCTTTTGAGATCTTCTCTTTCCCTTCCTTTTAGTATTGATCAGTTGACCTGCTTTAGCCAACATATCCTTGCTCTGTAGTTTAGGAAACCTAGAGGCAGAACCTTTCCCTTGGAGGATAATTTGTCTTTGGAGCTTTATACTTATCTTTCTCCTTTATACCTATTCCTTTATCCTTATTCCTCATAGCCCGAGGCTACTGTTTCTCAAGCAAAAGGACAAACTCCAGTTTTAGTTTGCTTATCCTATAATTAAAATATTACTGTTCCTTTTGCTACTTTTAAAAATTAAATTAAAATTAATTTGTAAGCATACCCCAAGGCTCTTGTGTAATCAAGTCAGCCAAGCCTAAGTTCACAATGTTTGTAGCCTCTGGTAATATGGCAAGTGCCTATAGGCCAACTAAAAAGAGCAAGACATTGCTTTTTTGCACTGCTGTCAAGATTTGTTATACTGTAATTACCTTAGAGGAAAAAAGAACCTTGAATGTCGGAGTTGTTCAGCTAAATGAGTTGAGGATCCTATTATCAAAATCCATTCTGATATTAATACTAAAGTGTGGTGATATGCTGAAGTGTTACTTTTCAGTGCTTTGGACAGTTGCTGAACAACGACACTTAAGGCCAAAAGTTGATTGAGTTCTGCTCTTCACTTTATAAAACAATTTGGAAATGATATGCCTGAGTTTTTAAAGACACAACAGTGTTCTACATGAAAGTGAAGATCGTTCTTTTAATCAAAAACTGCTAAACGCTTAACTCTACAATAGTATTCCTAGGATTTTGCTTAAGGTAAATGAAATTTTTTTAGGACCTTCAGTGTTTCTGGTAAGTTTCTTTTTGAGATGAACATAACTGAAGTGACTATTCAATTTCCCCTTTCCTCAAGTGGCTAATCCCATACTTTAAACTGCTAAGTGCTCTATTTTCAAAAGATAAGTAATTCAGCCCCTTGAGGACAAAGGAGAGGGAGTGAGGTTTGAGTGGACTCCAGCCTGCTTTCTGGAGATGAGCTCCAGGTGGCCCCTGCACAGATTGGGTGACTAGGGGATAAGAAACTTAGCTTCCTATTTTACCCCTGATGCCAATTAGCTATGTGGTCTCTAAGCCTGTTTCCTCACCTGCCTCATCATTACCTAATACTGACAGTATTTACCTCAGAGTATTGGCGTGAAGATTATCAATAACGTACATAACATAGACTTTGCATGTGTCTTCTCTGTGTTAGTGGATAGAGTGCTGGACATGCAGTTAGGCAAGTCCTTTCAGAACCTCAGTTTTCACATATGTAAAATGGATAGAATACTGTAGTATCTGCATCACAAAGTTAATGAAAGGAAAGTATTTTGCATACCTTAAAGTGCTATATGAATGTAAATTGTTATGTCCACCTGATTGTGTTTTAGGCACATTACAGATGCCACCCTGGCCATTGTGAAAGGAGAAACTATTCCACTTGATGTGCTGCAGATCAAGGTAGGCAAAGCCGACAAATTTCTGCTGAGAAATTACTTGCCACATCCAGGTTCATGAGAAGGGTTGTTCCCTTTTAAAAGTGAAGTTCCCTTTTAAAAAATTAGTGACAGGAGGGTCTAGTATGTATAGGCAAAGATAAAAATCCATTGCCTTGTTTCTAGTTGTTAAAATTATTCTGATATTTGGAGCTAACTGCTTACATATTGAAGATGTTCAAATCTTTATGTTTATGTATAAAAGGATGCTCTGTACTGAAGTAAATGCTCAAGGCCCTTTAAAATCTATTCCAAGATGATGGAAAAGATTAAAGCATACTTTAAAAATGCTGCTAGTTACAAAGGAAGTGAGGATCTGTTCTCAATTGCTTCATGTGGCTCTTTTATTTTGCCTGCTTGAGATACTGGTACAAATGTTTGTTTTGTTTTGTTTTTTCCTTCTTTCCTTTTTCTGCCGTCGCCCCCCGCCAAGCTTGTCTGTTCTTTTTTTATGACTGCCGTGTGATACGGTAGAGAAAGTGTCTGGAGGCCAAAGAGAGAATAGTTCGGCACTGCAACCAATGTGGGGATAGAGAGGACTCTTCTTGACCATACCTGTCGTCTCAGCACCTTCTCTCTTGTTTTCCTTTTTTGTTTCAAATGTTCCTATTTTGTGAGTTGATTCAGCCATTGTTGGTTTATGACTGCTCTTTATATTGCTAGTGTGGCCATGGAAGTGGAGAACATCCACAAATCAGTCTTAGATCCTCAGAAAATGTCATGTTCCAGACTACTTTGGTTTCTTTTGCACCCAGCTAAAGTAAATTTGATCTGGCTTCCTGGACCAGTCTCTTTGTAGATTAGGAAAATAAATTATTTAACTGCTATTCCTCTCTCCCCCTGCAGTCTCCTTCTCCCTGCCCCCCCACCAATATAACTATATCTATACAGTCCTTTTAAATTCTAATTAGTCATGTAGTTAAGAATTCTCTGGAAGGTATTGCAGTTGAGTAAAAGACATTTTGTCCCCATCAGATCAATAGTGTGGTACCTGATATGAGTATAATCCTTGCTATGTGACACAATAAAGAAGTGGACCTGGAGTCAGGAAGACCTGAGTTCACATGCTGCTTCAGACACCTGCCTTGGTTTCTGTAAAATGGGGGTGATAATAGCTTCTACCTTCCAGGGTTGTTGTGAGGATCAAATAAGTTTATATTTGTAAAGTGCAAACCTTAAAAGCACTATATAAATATTAGCCATCATCATTAATATTATTATTGTACCTGAAATGCACATGGAACCATCACTGGTTCTTCTTTCTAATGTCCCATTTAGAGACTTTCTGGTTATGTCCACGTAGAACTGTTTTTATTTTTTGTCTTTATTTCCCTAACCACTATCATTGTGTCTTAGACATAGTTAAGTGTTTAATATTAATGAATGAATGGCAGGTAGGATAAAATGAAAGGGAACACCATTTCCCTGCCTACCGTCTCTTTCTTCCTTTGTTACTAACAGCTTAAATGCTATTCCCTGAAGTGGGGTGACCAGTATGAGACCATAGTCTTCAACTGTGGTAAGTTTCTTAGCAGTTAGTGGTTAATTCCTCTTTTTATTTGAGGTCCTCTTGACAAATAGATGAGTATTCCTTGTAAGACCAAAAGGAGTTGTTTTCTGTTCCCTGCCCTAACACTGCTCAGCTCAGTTAAATTCCTCTTTAGGTCTCCAAGCCAGGTTCACTTAGGGAATTAATTAACAGGTGAAGTTTTGTTGTCATTGTTCAGTTATTTCAATTGTATCTGACTCTTTGTGACCCCATTTGGGGTTTTTCTTATCAAAGATACTGGGGTAGTTTGCCATTTCTTTTCCAGCTTATTTTACAGATGAGGGACTGAGGTAAACAGGGTTAAGTGACTTGCCCAGGGTCATACAGCTAGTAAATGTCTGAAGTCATATTTGAACTCAGGTCTCCCTAACTCCAGGCCCAGTGCTCTATCCACTTTGCTACCTAACTGCTCCAAACAGGAAGTATCCCTATTTAATTCATTTAAATTCTTTCAGGGTGAAAATCTGCCCCTGCTCAACCCTCTAGGCACCCTGAGAGACTATAAAGTTGGATAAGATGTGATTCATGCTCATAAGAAATTTTCAGACTTGAAGGGAATAAAACAAGTATTGTATCCCATATCCCTACTACTTGAAAGGTGATTTCCTAGGGGAATATCTGTAGATCAGTATCATTCTCTCTTTCTTAATCCAGGGTTAAGTCTTCTAAGACCAGTTACACTAAGAATTGAATCTTCCAGGCTCCCCAGGGTATCTTCTACTCCAGCCCCAGTTCCCACACAATCATTTAGAAGGCTCATCTTCTCTAAGTCAGGGATATATTAATCTTCAGCCCAAGTAATTCTTCAGCTGAGAACCTCAGAAGTGTCTTCTCACCTCCCTACTTCAGTCAACATTTCTTTCCCCTTCTGCCATTTTCCTATAACCTTCTATCGAAAAATGTTCAGCTTCATTGACAAAGACAGCCTGGAGGCAGTTGCCAAAATAGTATTGGAGGAGTTTGAACAGGATCTCTTCTAGATATATCCTTTAGCAGAGATTAGTTGTGTTATTGTTCCCCATATAAAAAGTCCACCTGTGGATTAGCAAATCATACCTCTAAGTGGCATTCATTTACTGTTAAATAACAGCTATAATGAATCTGCCTCTTAATCTGACACCTGCCATGGTTTTCTCTCGTAGGGACAAGCTGTTTGTACAGTCTGACTGCCTTCTTACTGCTAAGCCTTTCAGAAGAGACTTAGGCATTTATTCTTATGCTTTAGCATTACTGATGGACTAAGTGATTAATATACCCTAGCCATCTTAGCCCTTAAGGATCTGGACCTTCCTGTGGTAAAGGAATGTTTTTAAATGGTATCCCTAAACAGATAGATCTAACACTGGAGCATATACATGTTCTTCCATTCATAATTTGAGCAGTAGCTCTCTTCTTTCCCTATTTAGTCTGTGTATTGCCTCTAGTACATTCTGATGCCAAGTCTTGTCAGTTCTTCCTTCACACTATTTAACGCCTGATTCTCTGAACTATTGCAATACCCTTTTGTTTTTTGTTGGTTTTTTTTCTGCCTCAAGCCTCTCCCCCATCTAGTCCATCTTCCTCTACTCAGCTATCGAAGCTATTTTCCTAAAGGACAGGTCTGACTATGAACCCCTACCCCCATCTCACCTCCAGGAGCGAATATAAAATCCTGTTTGGTTTTTCAAAGCCCTTCATAACCTGGCCCCCTCCTACCTTTCAAGGGGTCTTACCCCACACTGCCTGCCATGTACTCTTTGATCCCGTGTCATTGACCTCCTTACTGTTCCTCACACAAGGCATTCCATATCCCACCCAGGCACTTTCACAGTTGCCCCTCATACCTGGAATTCTCCACCTTTTCATCTCTACCTTCTGGCTTCCCTAGTTTCTTTCAAGTTCCAATTAAAAATTCCACCTTCTACACAAAGCCTTTCCAGATCTCCCTAAATGTTAGTGTTTTTCTTGTATTGATTATCTCCAGTTTATCCTGTATAAATCTTGTTTGTACATGTTTTCATGTTCTCCCCATTAGATCGTAAGCTTCTAGAGAGCGTGGACCGTCCTTTGTATTTCTTTGTATACTCAGTACTTAGCACAGTTCAAATGTTTTTTGGCTAACTTGCACTGTGTCTGGCACGTCTTCCTTTACCTGTACAATGGGTTCATTGTACATAGTTGAAAGAGAAGGGATCACTTCTCCCAGAATGGAATCCTTTGGAAGCAAGCCTAGATTTGGGGAAAATTTGACCCCACTCCCAGAAACCAGACCTCTACACATAAAAACAACTTCGTATGTTGACAAACTGGTACAAAATGCCAGTACAGTAGGTAAAGTAGAGGACCTGGGACCTGGACTTCCTTAATGCTGAGTTGGATGCCATTGTACTTGGCTCTTTCTTAAGATTTTCCTCAGAGGAGACAGTTGCTGAAAGTTTTTTCTTGCTAAAAATGACATTTTTTCCTTTAGTATTTCACACTGTTCATTTGTTTCGTCAGTTACAGTTGGCATCTTTTCCACTGATGTAGCTGAAAACCCCTACAAGCCTTAGGAGATGAGATACTGTGGCCAGAAAAACTTAACATTGGGTCATTAGCCTTTTGATGATGAACTTTGCAGGATTTAGCTAGTCTGGTCTTCACATAGTAGACACATAGCCCATGCCCAGATCCAGACTCAAACTTCAAGTAAGCAAGCACTGCTGTGACTTACGTTTCACCATCATAGCTTTCCAGAACGCGGAGCCATCTATCTTCACACCATGATTAGGCATCAAAATTAGCCTTTAATCAAAGATTACTATTGAAATTCATATTATATTTTCCTTCTGTCCCCAATAATTTTAATGTGGCCTGCATTATCTTTCTGAGATTTCAAGAAGAATTTTTGTTTTTATTTTTTATTTAGCAACCTTTTAAAAAACATTTAATCTGGCCTTCCTGACTATCCCTCCTCCATTAAGTGTATTTTAAAAATAAATAGAGCTTTCTATAAATAGCTGTATAGTCCTATGTTAGTCATATCTGAAAACAGATTTTTATCTTATTGTTAGGAGATGAGTGATTTGTTTCATCTTTATCTTTTTGGGCTCATGGTTAATTTTAAAATTTTAAAAAGTTTTAAAATCTTTCAAAGTTGTTTTTCCTTACAATATTTTTGTCACTGTGTAAATTGTTCTTTTTCCACTTTGCTCTGAATCAATTCATATAGCTCTTTCCAGTTTCCTCTGAATTTGTCCATTTCATCATTTCTTATGGCACAATAGTATTCCAGTATATATAAGTACCATGTTTTATTTAGTCAGTGCCCAGTAGGAGGATACTCCTTTAGGTTCTGGTTTTTATGTTTTTAATAAAATGTCCAAAAACAAAGAGTGAAACTTAGCCTGAAAACCACTTGTGGCATATATAAAATTGGTTCTCCTGTAGCCTTGAACCCATCTGTACTCTTTCCGTAGGGTTTAGTCCATATCATTTATCTTTGATTACTGAATATTTCTAGACCAAAGGTCTATTTCATCAAGGTTCACGTCACTACTACTTTTCTATCTATGTCCTCAGGGAGAAGAAGCCTTGTTGATTTCTCATACTTAGTTTCTTCTATCTCCAAAGGTATCCTCAAATTAAAACCCCTATTAGGTGAATCTCATATGTGACTTTTCATCTGCAATTATACCTTTTTTTAGGATTCACCCCAAATTTCTGTCCTACACAGTACCTTACTTTCATATCAACCAAGGCATAATCTTCCCATCTGCTCCCCTAATCTTTCCTTCCCAGGAAATCATACCACACATCTCAAGATGAAATAGGGCAACCATACATATAGCTCTGCCTCTTTTGTCATCATCCATCAGGGGTGCTAGTATCCAAAAGAACCATCCCAGCTGGTCAACAAACTTTAAATCTTTTGCTTTGAGTGAGGTAGAAAACTATATAAAGTTAAAACCTGTTCAGCAACAGGTTGGCCGTGATGGCAGCTCTGAGGGATAGTTCCAATTAGAAATGCAAAGTGGTTAACTGCCCCTTCTACCATACTTTCCCAGTTCATTATTGCTTAGATTTAGCTTTTTGTTGAGAATTTCAGTTTAGGCTACTTAATGACTTGACCTCACTCTGTACCTTTTGGTTCGAGAGCTACCATAGTCACTGCTAGGAATTTTTTTTTTTAAATACTAGTTATTTAGAATTTATTTTCTCTGGAGATGTATCATTCCTAGCAGCCCTTCCAGAATTCATCCCTCTTCCTCTCTAAAGCATTCTAGGCTAGCTACCCTTCGCACAACTTACTACTACCTTCCTTGAATCTTCAGACTAAATTAGAAGTGTTTATCATGTAGCACAGAAAAGGCAAAAGCCTGTTTCAAAACCTATCAGGAGTTATGGACACCTGCAGAGACCCTCCAAAAAAAAATATTCTAAGAACTTGTGAATACAGTAAACCACAAGTATGCCACCAACAATAACAGGTAATAGGACTGTCATCATGGCCAGTCTTCCTGAGATATACTCTATTGTGCCAGTGCTCTGATCCCATTATTAAATTCCCAGACTTATAAGGATGGCAGGCTCCAATCAACTTTGTCCTTGTAAAAGGTATATGAGGGAAAAGAAACTGTGATAAACTATGATCAAGTCCTAAGCTGTACATAAACTAGTAAGTATTGCAAAACCATTTTTTGCTTTAGAATCTGAAGGTAGCAACATGCCATTGTTGGCTGATCCCTTTGTTAGAATGGCCAAGGATTGGCCTTTTTTAAAAGTATGACTTGTTTTGAAGGCCATGTCCATTGTGCAGAGCAGTAATCTTGTTTCTTTACAATTTGAAAAGGATTTTCATATTTTTGTTATGGTTTAAAAAAAATCAAGAACATTACCTGCACCCTAACATAGAAAAATTGTGTTGTGGCTAATATGGAAATATGTTTTGTATGACCTCACATGTATAATGGGTATCATATTGCTTTCCTTCTCAATGGGCAATGGAGGGCAGGAGGGAGGGAGAGAATTTAGAACCCAAAAAAAAGACTGTTAAAAAATTTAAAATTATGTTAGTATGATTGCATTTGTTGGAATCATTAACCTTCATTTCCTGTGTTTACTTAACTTCCAGGGAGAAAAGGAACAGCCTGTGTTTGCATTATCTGGTCTCAGATGGGGATCCTACAGAGATGCAGGAGTCAAAGTTAGCAAGTAATGTAGTATTATTTTACAGATATGTGATTTTTTCTTTCTTTCTGTTCTCCTTATTAGGGTTTTCATTGAATGATGTGATCATAGTTTAAAAAAAAAGATTCCATGCATTTTAGAGATACCCCATTCATTTCACCCCATTTGGTGGACTTTTAAGTTGAGTTTTGTTTGAATTATAAGGGTAGAGGTTATTTTTGTGGAAGCTGGCCATCCTTAATGCAAAGAGGATTAGGAGAGCTTCCCAGCTCATTAACTTTACTGGTTTGATATTGTTTGAGGAAGGCAATAGATTCAGTATTTAAATACAGGCCTTCTGAGGGTGAGAGTGTCTGAGTTTGGAGCCCTGATCGTGGTGTCTTTATGGCCTGATTGGCACAAGAGAAGCATTTCATCGGTCTTGTTTCTACACTGATGGGTGGGAGGGCTTCTGCAAAAGAAGGAGTACCCTTTTTGTTACACTGGAAAAGCAAGGGATCCTCATCTTAAAGAGTAAGGAAAGAGGGATTGTTTGGTCATGTCATAGCCTGTCATAGAAATAAACTGGGAGTATCACTGATCTCTCATGGAGAATGAATTCATTTCTGGAGATCTCATCATCGGAAACTATGGAATTGTTGCAGTTAGTGAATCAGTAAACATTTACTAAGGATCTACTACATGAGAGCCTTGTGCTGCTCAGTTCTGGGGGAGATGAAAGCTATAGCTAAGACATGGGCCAGCCTTCATGTTGCTTATAGTGTAGCTGGGGGATGGGACACAAACATAGAGAATTAAACAATATTACCTGAAAAGTACAAAGCAGAGTGGTATAAGAGGTCCTACAGATGGTGGTGTTACTGGATCAGGGAAGGCTTCATGGAAGAAATGATGTTTGAACTGGGCTTTAAATGAATATCTTTCAAGAAACAAAAATTCCATGCCAAGGAGAGAACATTAGGAAAGGCATGAAAGTGGGAGAGTGTCTTCAGGAAAAGGAGAGTAGACTGATTTTGCTGGGTCAGTCAGAGAGGGATGATAGGAGATAAGCTGAGAAAATGAAGATTGATGCCACAGTATTGAGGGTCTTAAAACCAGGTAACAACTGAAGTGTGAATTTTATTCCATAGACAGTAGGGATCCACTGAAGATTTTTTTTAATTTTTGTTTTTTTATTCTGAATTTAATGAACCAACCAAAAAAGAAATATTTCCCTAAATAAAGCCGAACCAAAAAAGAGGGTTATATCTGAAACTGAGAATCTTCATTACATGTAGCTTGCTGTTTAAGTATGTGATAATTCAGTATGTCACTTCCAAAGCAGTCTGACTACTTATATTTCCTTAGAAACTTCAGTTTTTTATGTATTTTTAAAAAATGCTTCAATGACTGTCTTTCCTTTTTTTTATGCTTATTCCTAGCTCTCCTCTCTTCCCACCCACCAACCTCCCTTAAAAAATTATCCATATAGCAAATTATCATTGAAGCAATGCAAATCCACACATTTGTCTCCACATATATATCTATATCTATACATAGCTACAAACACACACACACATACACACACACACACACACAAGCATGCACGTATAGATCGTTCTAAACCCAAAATATATTACCCCATTTTCAAGAGGTGTGGGTTGTATACTTCATCATAAGTCCTCTGGAGTCATGGTTGGTTACTGCAGTTATCAGAGTTATCATAAGTCTTTCATCTTTGTTGTTTTTTGTTTGTTTTTTAACAATATTGTTGTTACTATATGAATTGTTGTCTTGGTTTTGCTGACTTTATTGTGCATAAGTTCATACTCAATTTCCCAGGTTTTTATTTTAACCATTCCTTTTGTCATTTCTTATGGTGCACTAACATTGCCACAAAAGTTTTTTGAAACAGATGAGTGACATGATGAAATCTATGCGAATGAAAGCTGTTTTTTTTGTCTTTTAAAAATAAATGTTTTATTGAAAACTTAATATTAAACATCAATATAGTCTCCTAAACTTTAGTAGCCATTTGCAATTTAATTTCAATGAATAAAATGTGAATATCTTTTTCCTCCATGTCTGTTTTTACCAACTTACTTTGTTCCTGTTTGTAATTATTACATTTCTTCATTTTGTCTTTTATTATCATCTCTCTCCCTTATTTAGGTAAGAATTTTCCCCCTATTTCCCTCCCAGTCATAATTCTAAAAAACATCTCCTTCCTTTGTCCTCTAATTTTTAATGATGTGGCCATTTCATCTTTAAATCATTTATCCATTTGTAATTTATCATGACTTATGGCATAACATGGTTTTCTAAAGCAGGACTTCTTAACTGGTTTGTGTGTGTCACAGACTTCTTTGGTAATCTCTTAAAGCCTCTGGACCCCTTCTCAGAATAATTTTTTTAAATGCATAAAATAAAATACATAAGATTATGAATTAAATGAATTATATTGAAACATACGTACCAAATACATTTTTAAAACAAATTCACAGACCCCTGGGTTAGATCTCCAGATTTAGATCTAATTTCTTCTGTACTACTTTCCATTTTCCCCAGTAATTTTTATTATGTATAGAGTCCTTACCCTAGTAATTAGTGTCCCTGCTTTATCAAACACTATGCTACTGTGTTCAGTTGTTTTTAGATGGTGTTCACTATCTGATCTCTTCCATTGGTCAATTTTTATATTTTTTTAACAAGAACTAAATCTCTTGATGATTACTTTTTTTTTTCTTTTTTCTTTTTTGGTGAGGCAATTGGGGTTAAGTTACATGCCCAGAGTCACACAGCTAGTAAGTGTCAAGTGTCTGAGGCCGAATTTGAGTCCCCATGGCTCCAAGGCCGGAGTTCTATACACTGGCCCACTTATGATGACTTCTTAATAGTATAGTTTGAGACCTGGTATTGCCAGGTTCCCCGTACTCCTACTTTTAAAAAAATATTCCCTTTAAGTTTCTTGACATTTTGTTCCTCCAGATGAATTTTGTTATTATTTTATCTATATCTATAAAATAATTCTTTGGTAATTTGATTGGCATGGTGCTAACTTTGTAAATTAGTTTAGACAGTAACAATGTTTTTATCATATTGACGCAGATCATTATGATCAATTAATATTTCTCCAATTATTTAATACTTTCTTATTTCTTCCTTATTTTGGTTAAAAGTGTTTTGTTGGTGTCATCATATGTCCTGAGTGTGTTGATAGATGGGTAGGCTCCCAGATACTTTATACATTCTGAATAAAGTTCCTTTGCAGTAGTTTGTAGTTACCATATTTACTTTGAATAGGTTGTTTTTTTTTTTTCAGTGTCGGCTTGCCAGATTTTATTAGTAACATACAGAAAGGCTGATGATTTTTTTATGGGTTTATTTTATATCTTACTACTAAGAACATTTGTTCTTGCAGTGATGTGAAAGACACATCATAGCACAGAAAGAGTGAAGGTGGGAACTTGTTAGCAGGTTATTGCAAGGATCCAGGTAGTTGTCCTAGGGTGGTAGCTGTAGGACCCAAGAAGAGGGGACAGAGTTGCATGAGATTGTAGAAGTGGGCTTAACAGGACTTGGTCACTCATCAGATGTGAGAGCCGAGTTAGAGAGAAAAGACGAAGGACAACCTTAAAGGCTTCATGGGCGAACTGGAGCGCACGCGGCACAGATAACACAGAGGAGGGGCAGCTGCGAGCTCCTCTGAAATCAGTGTTGTAGGCTTGCCTAAATATCCTCACCGGGGCTGAGTCCTGGAGAAGGAGGACCACTACCTACTCCCTCATTTTTGACTTCCAGACTGCCCGTTTGCCACCATCTCACAGAACTCTCTTCCTTTGAGGTTTACTACTTCTTTTGTTATGAACCAGTACAATTCCTTCTCACAGGTGTTCTGAGGTTCAACAAGTGGTTCTGTTTCCCTTTCTTTCCAGATCCCTGCTGTTTTACTTGGGTACTTCACCATATATGCCTGTCTCCCCTCAAATAATCTGGCCTCCCAGTTAAAATACCGGAAAGTTCCTGAACTCCTGTGAACTTTTACCTTCACTCTGTCTTAGTACTTGCAAGGATAGCCATACCCTTGATCCCTCATAATTATTTCATCTCCATGATCCATAACTGGAATTCCTCTCCCCAGGCGTAACCTATCTTTTAGTCTTTCCTTCTGCTTACTAAATCTAGCCTTCATTGTCATCATAACTTCCAGTCTCTTTCCCACTTCCCATATTCCCGGCTGTCACCCCTGCTCTGACCTTCCTTCCTTTTCTTCACAGGCTTGACCTTGCGGTTGACCCAGTCATCCCTATATCATCAGCTGTCTCTGCATCCCTCTCTGTCCTATCAGCAGTTTCACCTAGCCAGTCCCAACCCTGGGTTGTTCCTACTATCTGCCTTTTGCATTCTAACTCATGTTTGCTGAACATTTTTGGAGAAAATGAACTGACTGCTGACTTGATTCATTACAAATTTGTCTAATTTCAAAAGGATTCTCACTATAGCAAAATAGTTCTCTTATTTTTCCTGAACTGACTCTTTCACACTCTCCACAGTAGCTCTTCCCAACCTTCTCTTATCAGACCACCTCCATCATTATCTCCTGCCATATTTACTGAGAAAACAGAAACCATCCCTCATAAACTCTCTCTTCTCCTCAACTCCTGCACCTCAAAATGTCTTTTCACTTAACGCTTCTCTTCTCCTTTGAACTAATCTCTGAGGAAGAGGTTAACAGGTTAACCCTTCTCCTTATGCTTCTGAGCCCATCTCCTCACACTGTTAGGGAACTAGTTCTTTCCTCATTCCCTCTCCCATCTTCAATCTGTCCATATTCATTAGTTGCCTGCAAATATGTCTCTCCCTAATACTTGAAGAAGAAAAAAAGCCTTTTGCTTGACCCTGTTTCTCCCTCAAGCATTGGTCCTGTATCTATGTTTTCCTTTTTATAACTAAATTCATAGAAACATTTGTCTGCACTCATCTCCTTTTCTTCACCTCCCACTTCTCCATCCCTCACAATGAAGTCTCAAACTATACCACTCGATGAAACTGCTCACTCCATAGTTGACATTTTATTAATTAACTGCTATCTCTTATAGTCTCAGTTCTCATCATTCCTGATCTCTGCAGCATTTGACATGGTTGGTACCTCTTTTTCCTCCTGCATACTTTGTCCTTTTTGAGTTTTTGTGATGCTTCTTTATTCTGATTCTTCTCTTACTTGTCTGACCACTCCCTCTCAGTTTTCTTTGCTGACTTATATCCAGCTCCTTCCCCCTTTGCTTGGGCATACCTGAGGTCTGTGTCCTAGTCCCTCATCTTTCTCTTTCTATACCTGCAATTAGGTGGCTCGGTGGATATAGCATTGGGTTTGGAGTCAGGAAGAACTGAATTCAAATGCGGCCTCATACACTCACTAGCTGTGTGACCCTGGGCAAGCCACTTAACCTGTTGGCCTTAATCCACCAGAGAAAGAAATGGCAAACCACTCTGGTATCTTTGCCAAGAAAACCTCATACAGTATCACAAAGAGTCGGACATGACTGAACAACTGAATGGTATCCAAAGATTTAAGCAGCTCCTGTGAATTTAGTTGTTACTTCTATGCATGTGACTCCCAAATCTATGTATGCAGCGGCTCTCCTTCCTTTCTTGAACTTGAGTCTTGTTTCATCAACTGCTACAAAATATCACCATTTGGATGTCCCAGAAGCATCTCAGAGTCATCGTGTCCAAAATGAAACTCCGTCTTTCCCCACAAAACCCACCCCTCTTTCTCAACTACCCATTCCTGTTGAGGGTAACACTCCATGCACAGGCATACGCACGCACGTGCCCCCACGCTAATTTGATTCTCTTAAAGAACAGGGCTGTCTACATCACTCCACTACTCAGAAAGCTTCAGGAGTTTTTTGTTTCCTCTAGGATCAACAGTAAACTCCTCTGTTTGGCATTTAAAGTCCTTCACGATCTCATTCCTGCTTGTCTTTCTAGACTGACTTCCTATTCTATCCCTCACACATAATACACTTTGAGAAAAACTAACTTGCACTTCTCCTTGCACGACGTTTCACTTCTTGTGTCTGACATCGAACAGACAGTCTGTCATGCCTAGGAATGTTCTCACTTCTCACCTCTAGTCCCTTCATGACTAGACTAAAATCCCGTCTCCTACAGAAGGCCCTTGAGATCTCCCTCCCCAGGTGTTGGTGCTTCTTCCTTCCCAAAATAACTTTGTATTTTGGTTTGGTTTGGTTTGGTTTTTTTTTTTTGCTTATCTGGCTTCCATGTTGTCATTACATCTTCTTTCTCCTCTTGCCTGGCAGGGGCTATTTGATTATTTTGTCTTTTATCCCCAGACCTTATTGGAGTAGATTTGTACTTGGTAGGTGCCTAACAGTACCTGTTGAATTGAACTTAATAATGAACCGTATCTTTGTACCTCTTCTACTTTTAGACATAAAGTCTGTTACAGCCAAGTATTTTGTTAGTGCTCACCCTATTTAGTTATGGAAGTATTATTACGTTCATCATCCTTATGTTTCTTATCCTTTCGTTTGCCTCCGTGCTACAGTTTTGTTTTTATTTTTTTATTTTACAAAACCTTCTGTTTAATATGTAACCAAATTTTAACATCTCACCACATAGAAAACTTATTGGTAGCCTTTTTGAGAAATGCGTGAGTGGGCAAATGGTACAGCTGCCAAGATGTGTTAATCACCAACGTAGTGCAGATCCATCTCGGCACTGATAGAATGTCCTACAGAGTCGGCCAGAAATGCGGCCATGCTCCATCTGGTGACAGCTGTCTGATCAGGGCATTTTAGGATACTGCTTGATAGCCAGTTTAACATCTTAAATGGGACCGTCCACCCACTGAAATGCCCTGATTGTGTAATGGAAAGAAACCAGAATGACAGAACTGTTTCCTAGCCTGCTGAAGAATTGCATAGTGCTAAGTCACGGCTATTGGAATGTGAGAGGACCTGGCAGTTTAGAAATTAGAAACCTCAGCAGGGAAATGGGGAATGTTTACCTGTTTTGCAGTTGAAGAAATAGAATTTTTGTAGGCAGCAAACTATATAACCTGGAGAACTTACCTATTCAGGAATAGAGGGAAGGTCTGAGCTTTCTTATCAGTGGGGATCATGTCATTCTCCTGATAAAGAACTTTAATAGCTTTCCATTCTCTAATGGATTAAGTCATAACTTCTCTTTCTGGCTTTGAATTGGAGGTAACAGTAAAGACTCCCCCATAATCTGACCCTATCCTACTTACCTGATCTTATCTCTTATTATTCCACTATGGACCATAAACTCCTTAAGGACAAATCCTTTTTGTGAGAATTTATCATGGTCTTGCACATGGAGGCACTTAATTGTTAGCTAAATTGAATATGTATATTTGTCTCTGGCTTTCCTCTGGTCTTTCTTTGAAACACCTGCTCTCCTGCCCTCCTTGTTTCTGATCTTTTCTCATGCTCTCGCCCCAGGCTATAATTCTCTCTGAGCATCTCTCTTCAGGTACTCTAGACCTGTCTCTGGTTCCTTTCTCCTTTAAGCGTTTCCTAATAACTTAAAATTTGCATTACCCTTCACTTCTTGAGATCCAGCACTTAATGTTTACACCATCTATTTAGGCACTGGATTATATTCATTTTAGTGCTTTATCATGTAGTGAAATTTTGTAGGGTTCCCAAAGGGTCATCCTCACCAAACTGGGTCAGAGTCTCATAATGGCAATAAGGAGTCAACCAAAAGTGAAACAAGTAGCCATTTCTGCCAGCCAGGGCAGATTCGAAGAGAGACAGCAGGCTACGCTGAGCATGACATAAGAATCTCCTTATATACAGATTTTAGGGCAGCTTTCATAAGTTAAACATTATTCAAAGTAACAGTGTGTCAAACAAAGAAAAGAAAGATGCTTATTCATAAAACATAGATGGTTATACAAAAAGAATAGTATACTTATTGGGGGAAATGTATATTCTTAGCTATTGGAGATGAATAAGGGGATTATTGTTTGAGTATAGCTGCTTGTTGGACCACACAGGGAGCAGGACTTACCCAGGCCTCTAGGATCCTCCACCTTCAGTAACTAGGTCTTTGGGTTCCAATAAGAGCTGAGAATGAGACACAAAAGGACACTAACTACTGTACCTGTGTCCTTCAGCTCACAATAAAATAGCTGAAGTCAGCATGCCTGGAGTTTCTTTTTTTTGGTGGAGAGAGGGAGGATCTTTGCCTGCTTCTCTCACAATCACATAATTTCTAGTGTTCTCTATTATTTTATGTATGATATCTCACTGACATGATTATAAGTTCCTTCAAGTGCAGGGATTTAGTCACATATTTTTCTTGTATCCCACAGCACTTGGCACAATTTTGAGCACTATTTGGAGCTCATTAAGTGTCTGTTGAGTTGTATCTAGGGCAGATAAGGTGAAGTACGAAGTCAGTTATTTATGGACTTAAAGATAAGGATCTACCTTGGAAGCCTCTCAAACCCTGTTGCTTGCGGCCTCTCCCCTGCAACTCATCACATAAAAAGTTACTGCATACATGCTATTTTAGACTATAGCTCAGTCCCTGATTCTAGCACATTAGATTAGTACTAGCAGCAGTAATCCTAATAGGCTTGCCTTCCTGTACAAAGACACTACTGCTTTCTCCATCGTCCTTCAGTGAACCTGGCTTCTTCTCTGGGCTCTAATGGCTTAGTTCACAGCCCATCCAAGCCTTTTTGTTCTATGCCACTCTTGCCCATGTCTTCCCATTAATCTTCCACAAGAGTTTTCCCTCCTGGACTGATCTCTCATCATGTAGAAATATCTGTTATTGACCCATACATGCCAGGAAAGGAAGCATTTTTTTTATACTGACACAAATTTGTTTTTCTGACCTTAGGTCTAGATATATCCCTCTTGCCATCATAGTCTTGAGGTACTTATCATATGTACTTGAGGGTACAAATATTTATATTTATGTTGTGAAGATGCAGATCAGATGGATAGGACTTTGGAAATGTGCTGATCATATTTTCTAATCAGAATTTCATCTTGATCCTTTTCAGGTACTGGTATCTTGGACCATTAAAAACCAAAGCTGCTCACTTTTTTAGTACTCTTAAGGTAAGTAAAGCACAAAACATGGAAAATTATAGTTAGAAGGATGTTTTCTCATTTTGTTTGTAGTAGAAAAAGGAAATAGGGGTAAATGAGACATATTTCATCTCATTATTCAGGGGCACTGCATATATACAAGGCTGCATCTCCAAAACAGGAAATACACACAGTTTTTTTGCTGACAAGTTGCCTTCTCTCATATTGCCTCCTCTCATACCTACCCATTCACTTTCACCCCTGCTCCCATCTATCCTTCCAACACCACTTAACCTATTCATTTATTCTCTACTATTGTAGAGACTGTAAGCATGCTGACTTATCTTTGTGATATCTATGTATCTGGAAAAATGTGTATGTATGTATGTATTAATATATATTTACGAATATGTGTACCTAGACAGAATTGTTTGTTTGTATTTGTGTTTAGATGTGCATCTCTCGGTATTGTGAACAGATCTCAAATTGGAATAGACATATTATTATTATTATTATCATTATTAATAATAATAAGCAAAAAGAAAAGTGCATTTTGTGGGTTGATGTGTGAAGGGAGAGTCAAAATAACTAACAGGATTTTTAGATTGTAAAATCTGGGTAGAAGTAGATACCTTTTTTCTTTTTTTTTTTAAAGATTCATTAATTTATTTATTTTTAGTTTTCAGCATTCACTTCCACACGATTTTGAGTTTCAGATTTTCTCACCATCTTGTCCCTTCCCCAACCCCAAGACAGCATGCATTCTGAATACCCTTTTCCCTAATCTGTCCTCCCTTCTCTCCCCCTTCCCCATTCTCTTATCTCCTTCCTCTTCTGTTTTCCTGTAGGGCAGGATAGATTTCTATACCCCATTATCTGTATGTCTTATTTCCCAGTTGCATGTGAAGACAATTTTTTAACATGTGTTTTTAAAACTTTGGGTTCCAAATTTTCTCCCTTCCTCCCTCCCCATGCACCCTCATTGAGAAGGCAAGCAACTCGATACAGGTTATACATGTGTAGTCATACAAAATACTTCCATAGTAGTCATGCTGTGGAAAACTAACTATTTACCTTCATCCTATCCCACCCCGTTTATTCTATTCTCTCTTTTGACCCTGTCCCTCCTCAGAAGTGTTTGCTTCTGATTACTCCCTCCCCCAACCTGCCCTCCCTTCTATCATCTCCCTGCTCTCTTATCCCCTTCCCCCCTGTTTTCCTGTAGGCTAACATAGCTTTCCATACCCAATTGAGTGTGTACGTTATTCCCTCCTTAAGCCAAATCCTATGAGAATAAGATTCACTCATTCCCTCTCACCTTCCCCCACTTTCCCTCCACTGTAAAAGCCTTTTCTTGTCTATTTTACGTGAGATAATTTACCCCATTCTACCTCTCCCTTTCTCCTTCTCCCAGTATAATCCTCTCTCACCCCTTAATTTTACTCTCCAGATATCACCCATTCATCTTCAACTTGCCCTGTGCCCTCTATCTGTCTATCTATACATATAATTTTTTTCCCTCCAACTACCCTAATACTGACAAAGGTCTCATGAGTTACAAATATCATCTTTCCATGTAGGAATGTAAACAGTTCAGCCTTAATAAGTCCCTTATGATTTCTCTTTCTTGTTTACCTTTTCATGTTTCTCTTGAGTCTTGTATTTGAAAGTTAGATTTTCTATTCAACTCTGGTCTTTTCATCAAGAATGCTTGAAAATCCTCTATTTCACTGAATGTCCATTTTTTCCCCCTGAAGGATTATACTCAGTTTTGGTGGGTAGGTGATTCTTGGCTGTAATCCTGTCTCCTTTGCTATCTGGAATATCATATTCCAAGCCCTGCGGTCCCTTAATGTAGAAGCTACTAAATCTTGTGTTATTCTGATTGTGTTTCCACAATACTTGAATTGTTTCTTTCTGGCTGCTTGCAATATTTTCTCCTTGACCTGGGAACTCTGGAATTTGGCTACAATATTCCTAGGAGTTTTCCTTTGGGGATCCCTTTCACGAGGTGATCAGTGGATTCTTTCAATTTCTATTTTACCCTCTGGTTCTAGAATATCATTCTAATTTTTAAGGAAGTATTTTCTTCAGTGAGCTTTTGGACTTCCTTTTCTGTTTGGCCAATTCTGCTTTTTAAGGCATTCTCCTTGTTGGCTTTTTGGACCTCTTTTGTTAAGTGACTTGCCCAGGGTCACACAGCTAGAATATTTATTTGTTTGTTTGTTTATTTATTTATTTGTTTTGGTGAGGCAGTTGGGGTTAAGTGACTTGCCCAAGGTCACATAGCTTGTAAGTGTCAAGTGTCTGAGGCTAGATTTGAACTCAGGTCCTCCTGACTCCAAGGCCGGAGCTTTATCCATTGTGCCACCTAGCTGCCCCCTTTGGACCTCTTTTGCCATTTGGGTTAGTCTATTTTTTAAGGTGTTATTTTCTTCAGTATTTTTTTGGGTCTCCTTTAGCAAGCTGTTGACTAATTTTTCATGACTTTCTTGCATCACTCTCATTTCTCTTCCCAGTTTTTCCTCTACTTCTCTTACTTCTCAAAATCCTTTTTGAGCTCTTCCATGGCCTGGGACTGATTCATACTTTTCTTGGAGGCCTTGGATGTAGGAGCTTTGACTTTGTTGTCTTCTTCTGGTTGTGTGTTTTGATCTTCTTTGTTACCAAAGAAAGATCCTATGGTCTGATTTTTTTTGTGCAGTTTGCTTATGATCCCAGCTAGTTATTTGAGTTTTAAACTCTTTGTTAAGGTAGAGATCTGCTTCCAATGTGGAGAATGTACTATCCCAACTTCAGGGGTTTTGTGCGACTGTTTTCAGAGATACTTCTAGGGACCTGTAAGTTTTCAGTTCTTACAAGGTAGTATGATCAAGGGTGAGGTGTTTACTCCTTTCCTGGCCTGTGCTCTAGTCTGTGACTGACCACAAGCACTCTTTTCCACCTTAGAACTGTGAGGAGGATTCCCTCTCCACTGCCACTACAAGCTCCACCATGCCAGCACTCCTCCTCACCCCAGGATCGCCACCCAGAACTGTGACCCACATCAAAGTTTGGGCAAAGCAAGAGAATCCTGCCTTAGTACCAGGAAAGAGATACCTGCAATCCCTCTCTGATCAGCCACTCAATTCCCCCTTAGTCTGTGGGCCAGAAGCTCCAGAAGCAGCTGCCGCTCCAGGGCTACGCCAGGACTAGGGCTAGGACCAACCTTCTTTCTCATCGAGGTTGCAGACTTTTCCTACTGACTTTCTAAGTTGTCTTTGGTGTTTGTGGGTTGAGAAGTCTGGAAACTGCCCCAGCTGGCCCATGATTTAGTTCCCTAAGGCCTGCTCCAGGTTAACTGAAGCCTGGTCTTTGTGGGTGCACCATCGCTGAACTGCGTTTCTCTCCCAGCCTGGTGTGATATAACTTTCTGATCAACTATCCAGGTTGTCTTGGGCCGGAAATTTGTTTCACTCTGTCTTTTTGTAGGTTCTGCTGCGTTAGAATTTGTTTAGAGCCATTTTTTACAGGTATTTGGAGGAGTTTGGGGGAGAGCTCAAGCAAGTCACTGCTTTTATTCTGCCATCTTGGCTCTGCCCTAGATACTTTTCTTTGTTTTTATTTATTTATTTGTTTATTTATTTTTTTTTGAGGCAGTTGGGGTTAAGTGACTTGCCAAGGGTCACACAGCTAGTAAGTGTCAAGTGCTTGGTCTGAGGCAGGATTTGAACTCAGGTCCTCCTGACTTCAGGGCCGGTGCTCTATTCACTGCGCCACCTAGCTGCCCCCTAGATACCTTTCTTAAGAGATGGTTACAGAAGGCTTTATATCAGGGGTTTTTAACCTAGGATCTGTGAACTTTAAAATATATATATATATGTGTGTATGTATATATATATATACACACACATATATATATATATATATATATACGTGTGTATATTTTTTTTTAATATATTTCATATCAATGAAACCATATTTCAATATAATTAAGGTTTTTTTAATCCTATGTGTTTTATTTATGCATTTAAAAATACTCTGGGAAAGGATCTACAAATTTCGACAAAAGGGTCCATGACACAATAAAGATTAAGATATTGCTTTATATAGAAGAAGTAGGGTTAAGAACCTATTTATGTGAGAGTTTTAGGATTTAAGGCCACAAAAGGTAATCTGGAATATGAGATTTTGGTGGCAGTAAGTCACTTAACCTCCCAATGCTCAGGCAACTCATTGAGTTTATCAGTTGCAGAGAAGGTACCAACCTGCATTGGTGAAAGGAGTTTCCTCATCAGGGAGTTTCCTTACTCTCTAGCCCTGAAATCACAGGTCTCATTCCTGTCTCTGATAATGAAATATTAGATGTCTTTGCCTGGGGTGCTTTTCAATTCTTGAACCACAGATGACTCTTTTAGGACCTCTGTTTTCTATATTAGAACATTTTAGTACATGCCCATTTACAGGCTACACACACACACACACGCACACACACACACACACACAAATTTGTTATACAATGATTCACTCCACATACTTAGTACTATTAGTTTTGTCTTCTTGGTGTATTATCTTCATTGTTTTCCCTGTCCTAAAAGTAAAGACTGTCATACACTAAGTTGTTGGTTTGAAGGAAAGATTCCTTAAATCTCTTTGTGATGAGGAATCAGCTCTAGGGATTCAGTCTTCACATTCCTTATATGGCCACAGATTTCACAGGGAAGAAAACAAAATTGTTACCTTTCTGTCCAAGATCTCCTAGGAGTTGTCATTAGCAACATTTTTTTTAATCTTCATGTTAATCTAGGAGTGGCCTCAGATACATCAGGCCTCAATCTCGTATGTGGGACCCACTGAGAGGCCGCCCAGTGAACCAGAAGAAAAGCCTCCCAGGCCTGCTTTATACAGGAGGATATTCCGAAGGCTTGCATCATACTGGACCCGTCCTCAGGATGGTGAGGGGGAGGTTACTTAGAGGACTGGGATACCCTCTATGCAAAAGGGTCCTCAACCAGCTTCCCCAATCAATCAATAAGCATTATTATGTGCCTGCTACATACCAGGCATTGTACTGGGTGCAGGGGATACAAATAGAGTGAAACAGTCCCTTCTCTTGAGCAGCATACATTCCAAAGGTAGATATAGAGACATTACTCAAGCTGGGAAAGGCCTTCAAAGGTCATTTGGTTCATCCTTTGCTTCCAGTCAGCACAGGACTCAAACTGCCAAATAAATTGATCTAAGTTCTTCTCTGCCCCAGCCATATTCATGGCGTGGTAGCATGCTAAGCCCACTGGATGGTAGTAAGAACCCCTTGTGTTGTTTTGTTTTTGTGGCAGAGAGTGGGCCACCTCTTCTTTATTCCTTTTGCTGCTGCTCTTGGTTGGAATGTTTCCTGCATGGGTCTTTCACAGTGACTCTGACTCTCCCTCTCCTCTGTGTATAAGTGAGATGTACAATAAATAAAGCAGAGGAAGCAGAAAGACTGGGCAGGGAGAATGAAAAGGAGCTGAGAAGCTGGCGGGCCCCGGTCATTTATTTTGCATTGGGAGTAGTGGAACACTAATGGAAGTAATTGACCTGTACCTAATGGATTCACACAGCCGTCTCCCAGAAGGTAAAGCCAGAGGTCTGGAAAGAAGTGCAGCTGTCCACCCTTGAATTATCCATCACAACACGGAACAGTCGACCTGACCTGACGGTAAGAGGGTCATGTTATAAATCAGTATTTTGTGTCCTTAAGTCAGGCAGCATAGGTCACTTGTTTTTTCTACAACTCGGGTTTTGGTATGTACCATGTAAATGAGCGAAAGGATAGAGATGGAAGGGTTAGGATGGGGTGGGGGGAGAGATGTGAAGGTAGTGATGACATACCAATGTGGGATGAGACTGGGAATCATAGAATGTCAAAGCTGGAAGAAGCCTTAGGGAACATGGAGTTTAACTTTTTCACTTTCTAGATGACAAAGCTGAGTCCCAAGGAGGTGAGGTTTCCTTTGGGGTCTATGACTAGGATCCACATCACCTGATTATCACACCATGGTATCTCATATGACTTGGGAGGATGGTTGTTTTGAAACTTCTTGGACTCTAGTAAGGAATTCTGGCCCTGCATGTGTTGGTCTAGAGCAGTCTTCAGCTTTTCTGTCTTTGAGGTCACTTTGACAGGGCACAAGGACCTGTAGACTATCAGCCCCATCAACTCACTCTTGTCAGTATAAATTTTAAAACACAGTTTTATGTGATTTGTGTTGTGATCCAGCCCCAAGGACCTAGATTACATATTTTAGAATCACTGATTTAGAGAGTTCCAAGATGATTGTTAAAGTGCCTTAGATTTTGTACATTGGTGAACTAATGGAAAAAGCATATCCTCTGTGTCACTTGATGTGATTGATGATATTAGCATCATAGATGGACTCACATGTAAAAACCAGTGAAGTCACAAACTAGTTAGCCCTTCTACAAATTGGCAGGTACCAGCAGAGGATAAAAAGCATGATCAAGATAACATTTTTAAGATTTATATACTTCTGGGACAGCTAGGTGGAGCAGTGGATAGAGCACTAGCCCTGGAGTCAGGAGGACTCGAGTTCAAAACCGGCCTCAGACATTTGACACTTACTAGCTGTGTGACCTTGGGCAAGTCACTTAACCCCATTGCCTACACAAAGAAAAACAAAAGAATTATATACTTTTATTGAGTCTAAAAACAAATTAATTTAAATGAACTTTCATTTATTTATTCATTCATGTAAAAACAGTTCTTATGTAAACAGTTCTTATGTAAGGTTACCAGTGTTACAAAAGTTGGGAAGAGTAGAAAATTTTCCTGTTTCTACCAGGAAGTGCCACATAACCATTTAGAGGCTGTTTTCATTTTTTACCATGTGTATCTCCACCTACTCTGCTGGCTTTACCTTTCCATCTTTGATGTTTGTGTCTGTGGAGAAGGAGAAGTGGCATCAAGATCTAGATGGCATATTTGTTTGGAGTAACTTGAACTTTAATTGGAATTTGAATCTAAAGTTAAAATCAGGCAGAGAGAGAGAAGAAAAGAGACCCAAGTGTGCAGATATAATGGACGTTCTTGTGTAGACCATCTAAGAAAAGCTGATTAATCATAAAGAGTAAAAAAAAAAAGTCAACGCAGCTTTAAGTTTTTAAATATGTCCTTAGTCACTATTTGTCTTAGCCTCTCAGGTAGAGGATGATATCTGACTTCTGCATCTGCCCATGTTACCATTTTGGATAGATTATAAGCTACCATTGGGAAGCCTCAGTGATATCTGCTTAAATCTGACATAGTGTCACAGTCTCAAAGCTTCTAGGTGGAGAGGAGTCATTGGTGATTCCAAATGCCACCCCAATCTCGTTATTCCTGGCGCAGCAGTTGCCAGTAAAGACAGAGCCATCTTCTACTTTTTGAGACTCGCCATTTCTAATCAGAGGTGCTGCTAGCCCCAAGCAATCAGGCTGACCACAGTAAGGCTGGTCAGGAAGAATCCAGACTAGGAGTCTGATTATGTAGGAACACATCAGGTTTTATGGGTCAGATGAGCATGAGGTTGTGTTCTACTGGAGCAAATGGGACTGAATAGTTCAGTTGGATATCCTAGGTCAAACAGATCGAGTTCACAGAAGGCAAATTAAGGCATGAAGGGCCAGTATAGTCAGCAAATAGGAGATCTGGAGTACAGAGATCATGGCACCAGAAAGTAAGAGATACCGAGGTGTGCCCTAGTCAAACAGATTGCATTTCTCTTTTTTTTTTTTTTTTTTTTTTTTGCTAGGGTACCGGTGTTGTTGTGCTCTAGTATGTCACCATGGCCCTTGCAAAGAAGCTTTTGGCCACTGCCACCCAGAAACGGAATAAAGTAATTACTGGGGTTTCTTTTTTTTAATGGAAGAGAGACAGTGTGGAATAGTGGGTAGTACTATACTATGAGTTAGGGAGACTTGAGTTGAAATCCTTTATGACCTATATTATCTACATAACCATGAATAAGTCACTTCTCTGAATTTCAGGCAGCTCTCAAAGTTGTAAACAGATTACATTCTGCATTGGTAGAGGGAATTCCCAAACTGACAAAATCACAGGTAGTTGAAATACTACGTATGGCAGCTACATGAAGTCATGGTGATAGTGTTGGACTTGGAGTCAGCAAACTCAAATTCAGATCCTAACTCAGATATGTAAGGGCTGCATTACCCTGGATAAATCACTTAATTTAAGCCTTAGTTTCTTCTTCTGTAAAATGGAAATAATAATAGTATCTATCTTAGAGAGCTCTTGGGAGGTTCAAATGAGGTAATTTACGTAAAGCACTTTACAAACCTTTAAAGAGCCATATAAATTATTATTGTTATTATTCATGCCATGTGATAAGTGATAGTCCTCCAGAATATCTCCCAACTAACTTAGTGCAGGAAAGCAAGAACTAAACAGGGTCACTCAAACAATACTATAACCAGAAGAAAGTAGGCCATTGACTGCATGTGAACCCTACATGATGGGGACTGGAATTTTTTCATGGAGAGCTAGGCTTCCACTACTGGCCATTGACTTCTCATGAATCCATCACCAGCAGGTTGTAGAAAGAGAGACCTCCACAAGGTGACCACGTAAGGCATCCTTTCTTCCCATAATTTATTATACACCTTGTGTGTGGCTCTCCATATGGTGGTATCAATAAGAATGGAGAATCTGAAAAACATTTCTATGGCATAAAAGTGTCTAATCAGAAGGAAGGTCTGCATGTGGGACCAGGAATTACATTAATAATACTAATTATTATTTTTAGTGATCAGTCTCCACCATGAATTTCTCTGAACTATTCTGGCTTAGGAAACAAGAAACAGAAGTGAAAAATCGGGGTCCCTGAAGGAAAAAGTCAAAAGCACACTTCTCAGCTGTAGAGCATAAGCCTCCTCCTGCCAGACTGCAAGATCCACAAGAGCAGGGACTGTGTCCTTTCTAAACTTACCTTCCTCCCTCATCTAGCATGAAGCTTTCCCCACATTGAACGTTTACTAAAGCCTAATTGAATTGAACCTCCTTTGGCCATGAACAGTCCAGGGATGACACCCAGGTTAAATCTTATTAGCTGCAGTGTTAGAAACACTAATAAGAGTTTTCTGAACTCTCTTTCTCAGGGCACGGAAGATTTCATGAACATTTGCATTGAACCAGATACTGTCAGTAAAAGTGACTTCATAAGTATAGGGTAAGTGCAAAGGAAAAGAGGCTGGTTTGGGCAGTGAACGAGTGAGGTTTTAGACCCTAGCGTTCTCCAAATTCACCAGTGGTCTTGAGCATCACAAGAGAGAATCTGACGGAGTTGTTTTTTTCTTCTGCTTGGATTTTAGTCTAACTTTTCAGAGTGAACTTCCATGCTTGGCTCCACCCCCACCTTCAGGGTCCTTTATGAGAAGATCATACATAGTTCATATCAGCCTTATTTTTTAACCTACAAGGAAAGTGAGAGAACTTAATGACCAGCTCACCTTTTTCCTTTCCCAGGACTTCAATCAACTATCAGGCATTTAGTAAATGCCTCGTGTGTATCAGGGATTGTGCTAGGCACGGTGGATATAAAGCCAAAAGTGAAGCAGTTCCCTGCCTTCAGTCCCTTCCAGGAGCTTGCATCTGAACAGGAGAGACACCATGCCTGTATATACACAGCATACCAAGCAGATAAAGGGAACTTGGGGTGGGGAAGAGCTGGAAGACACTTGTCTGCTGGGGATTAGAAAAGGCCTTGTGCAGAAGGATTCTTTGGAAACTCCACTCCCGCCGGACCTTGGATCACAAACTCTTTCCCTAAGCCTCTGCAACACACAGCCCTGCTGGTCTTGGAGAGGCTGCCTTGGTCCTGGGCGAAGGGGTAGGCTTTACCTGGCACTTGGTTGGTTTTTGTTCTCAGTGCTCCCTCTACTGCCTGAAGAGGGGAGAAGCACATTTATCTGCGGCAGGGTCCCCATGGTTACTGTTGTATTCATAACTCTCAGCTTTGGCAGCTGGGAGGGCCTCACCATTCCTGCAGTCAGTGCAGAATCTTCAGACTCTGGATACAGCCTTGGGTTTGTCTACTCTATATGGAAAATGCCTTTTGTTTTCCTAGGAGCTGTGGTTTCTATTGTCACTGAAGCCAGATGATGATGAAATCTGCTCTCTTTTAAGTCTGGCATCTAGTGATAGGAACAATCTTCCCTCCTGATCCTCATTGTGTTGTGCTAGGTTTTATCTCATGCAGTTTGAGGAAAGGAGCAGATCCTTGTAATGGCATGATTCTGTTGTATTTGTGGATTTTTGGAAGGGGTAGGAAAAGAGGATCATGTGTAGTGCCGGGTTCCTCCAAAAAAGAACATCTTAGCCATATCAGAGCAGTTGGAACTGTGAGGGCAGGAACAGGGAAAAGGGAATAGGGACAAGACCCGTGGTTTCGTTGGTAAAGGGAACTCCCAGTCAGCAGCTTTTCTGCCACCTAGTCTTAGAGAGTCGTCTAGGACACTGAAAGACAAAGTGACTTGCTCCCAGTCTCACTGCCGGTATGTCAGCGGTGGGACTTGAACACAAGTCTTCCTGATTCTGACGTCAGCTCTCTAGCCACTTTCCCATCAAAAGATACGGGTGTGGTTTAAAAAAAAAAAAGTGTGTTTGTGTATATGTATGAATTAAATGTATTATTTTTAAAAAGGAGCATGAAGAATCATCTGGCTTCATTTAGGTGAGAAGAGTTTGATGGACGTGTTTTCTAGTGGGATCCTAAAGTCAAGAGAGTCCCTTGCATCTGGCTTTTGTCTGGCCACTGCCTCATGTGAAGAAAGGCCTCATTGCTGTTATGATCCCTCTTGAAAACCACAAAACAGTTTGAGACAGAGAGCTAAGAGACCAGTTTTTCTCCTCATTCTGCTACCTTGAGAAAATAATTTAAACTTTCTGGGCTCCATATAAGCCTCGTCTTTTAGATAATAGGGAAGGAGAGAGACTAGATCTTCAAGTCCTTTACAGCTCCAGAATTCTGATTCTAAATTAATTTGGGAGGACTAAAGGAAAGATCATTTACCCTTACTTGATGTCTTTGTTGTCTTGAAGTATTATTAACATGATTATTTTTTTTACTTAGCTAGAAGAATAATATTGAAAAAGAGAAACAAAGGGTTTGGGTTTTTTATTTTTTCATTTATTTGAATCCTTTTAGTTAGGGTTGTACTCAAAGAAATCTGAGGTTGCTAAGCCAGAGCCTAGATTCCAACTGTGTCACTTCTACAGTGTCTGAAAGGGTAGGAAATATTTCCCCTTTTCCTAAAGTCACACTTCCTCTTATTTTTTTTTCCAAGATTTCTGCCAGTAGTTGTCTGGCTTCTGCCCTCTCTTTTGGCTTCTTCTGTTTTTTCTATTGTCCCTCTCATGCCTATCTCCTCCATAGTTACCATTCAGGTTTTTTAATCATTTGCTTCCCAAGAGTTACTAAGTCATTTGATGATTTCTCAGAAACACTTTCTTCTGAGATCCAGACTTCAGCCTAGGTTGTGTGTATCATTCAATGCCTTGCTTATTTGTCGACTGCAGATGCCTTTGTCTAATCTAGCAACTACAGACTGGTGACCCTATAGCAGAGGAGACTTGGGGTAGGTGAAAGTTATTTTTCGTGTCATTCTAATTAAGCAAAATATCTGCTTTTACTCAGTACAGGGGAGTGGCATCCAGTGCATCTGAGTAATTGATAGCAGAAAAGGTAGAATAAGATCTGGGATTTCAAGATTTTTTTTAAAATCCAGTGAAGGTTTCATATTTGAAGATGTGCTATTGTAGCTAGAAGACTAGGAAATAAACATTGGATTGATTCACTTAGATTTCTTATTATCTTTTCTCCATTTCTTTAAGAATTTTACATTTGAAGCCTATCCCTTTCACTTGCCCAGTGGATTTGGGAGATTTAATAACAACTTAGTTTAGGTGTAGTACTAGACTCAAATACTGAATTTTTCATTGTGTTCATGTGAAGATGAGATTACAGCCTTGTACAATGGAAAAAGCATTCGAGTTAGAAGCTCTACCTCTTAACCATTTGCATGACCTTGAGCAAGTCACAGCCTCTCTAAACCTCAGTTTTCATATATGTGCAATGGGAATAATGTTACTTACCTTACCTGGCAGCAGCCTTGTATTAAGGGTTGAATAGGCGCATCCAAGCTCACCATTCATTCAGCTAGTAGTATTAAGTGCTGACTGTGCAGATCCTCATTCTGGCTGCTGGGGAATGTGCCAGTATCTCAGTCCTGTGCTTGTTTAAGATCTGGCAGTGGGGCAGAGGGCGGGGCAGGGGGGAGATACAAATAAGGCTATAGAGGCTATGCACTATAGTGGAAAGACTGCTGGATTTTGGAATAGGGGGACTTGGATTTGAATTGTGGCTCTCCAAGTATTTATTAAGCTGGCACTGTGCTAGTTGAGGGGGTTATAACAGTGAAAATAGTCTCTGCCCTCAAGGAGCTTGCATTCGTGGGGGAAGGCAGCATGTACATATATTAGTGTGTACAAAATAGAAGGTGACTTTGGAGGGAATACTTTAGCACCTGAGAGGAATCATACAAGGCCTCATGTAGGAATTGACATCTGAGCCAAGCCTAGGAAGAAGCTAGGGGGTTGTTAAGAGTTTGGGTTAGGAAGGGAGTACATTCCAGGGCATAGGGATGGGAGCTGTGACGTCACGTGTAGGGAGTAGCAGGAAGGCCAGTTGGGTTGAACCATAGAATGCTTAAAGTGGAGCATAAGCCCAGGTGTCAGGGATGAAGGGCTTTAAATGCCAACCACAGGGTCATAAGATCACAGCCCTGGAGCTGAAAGGATAGTTCAGAAATGATCTAGTTCAGCCCCTTCATTTTACAGCTGAGGAACTTAGGCCTAGGGACGTTAAGCGACTTTTCTAGGTTATGTAGCTGGTGAGCACCAGAGGCAGGTCCTCTAATTCTAGAGCCTGTGCTTCTTCCGCTGTACCAAGCTGAATCTGACCCTAGATATCATAAGGAGCCACTGGACCTGTTGGTGGGAAAGCAGCATGGTCATATCTGTCCTTAAGAAAAATCACTTTGGTAGCTCTGTGCAGGATGGATTGAAGAGCAGTTTTGACATAGGTAACCAGTTAGGAGGCTATTGTAGTAGCCCAAGTGAGAGAATAGAAAGGTACTTGCTAGCAGCGTGACCACAAATAAATCATGTAATCTCTCTAAGCGTCTGATGACCCTGTCTGTAAAGTGGGAGTATTTGGACAATTCACCTGTTGGTGTTATAAGAAAAGTGCTTTGTAAATCTTAAAGCACTATATAAATGTGATTTAGTATTATTATTATAGGTGAAAGCAATTATAGACTATAAAGGACTGTACAAATTGAAGATATTTCTTAGCAATTCTTAGATGAATATCTGATTTGATTTAGAGTAAAGGTTGTCTTTTGATTCAGAATTAAAAGTGCTGTTGAAACCAAGGTTTGTATCAAGAGGTCGAAGATTGTGGGGAAACAGGGGGCATGTTGTATGTTTTATTTTTTTTTTGTTATTTTTCACAACACAACTTCATTCTGATTTAGTTGATGAATTTCCTTTTAGATTATTTTAAGAGCTCTGAACATGAGCAGAGGCAGTACTACTTTGAATTAAAGAACTAATATTTATTGTAGGCACAGTTGTGTTTTCTCACATAGGCTTTGGTAACACGTTGTGTTTCCAGGTCTCCGGAGCTGAGTGAGAGTTTGTGTCTGAAATGGACAGTGGCCATTATAGGCCTTCTTTGGCTGCCGTGTTTGGCTGTGTTTGGGAATTTTCTATCTTTGACTTCCGTGTGCTCAGGCCTTAGTTCTACCTCGATTCTACTCCTTCACTGCATTGTAAATCCCTAATTGCAGTTACTTCTGTCAGTTTCTAAGCTTGCTTTTTCCTGCTTCAACAGAAGTCAGAAGATGAGAGACCCTCACATGTGTCCTGAAGGCTCCGAGTACCTCCAAGCCAGCCGGTGTACATTGCTTCTTCCTGAGGTAAGAGTTCAGGGGCAGTAGGCTTGCATCATCCATCTTTTAATTCCCCTGAGGCATCATGGCATATGGAATCAGCACTGGATTGGAGCTGGAAGACCTGGGTTCAGATTCCAGCTCTGACATTTACTAGGACCCCCTGAGTGTTCTCATCCATTAAATGTGAGTAACAGTAGGTGTACTCCTTACTTCACGGGGTTGTTGTTGTTAAGAAAATTGCTTTGTAAAATGTAAAGCATTCTATAAAATGCAAGCTGTCATTCTTATTCCTTCTTGGGATTGGGGTGTTTTCAGAGATCCTAGCCTCCAACACTGAAGGTCCTTCTTCACTTTGCCTTAGAAAGTACAAGGAAAAGTCACTTCCAAAGCTGGGATTTGATATTTGCTTCCTGGGGATTCTAATTTCTTTTTTTTTTAATTATGTAAAACATTTCCGTATTGGTCATTTTGTACAAGAACACTTGAATAACAGAAAAAAATGAAAGTGAAAAATAGCATGCTTCAGTCTGTATTCAGTTAATATTAGTTCTTTCGTTGGAGGCGGATAGTATGCTTCATCATTAGTCCTTTGGGATTGTCTTAGATCATTTTTTGCTGAGAATAGTTAAGTCAATCACAGTTCTTCATTGGACAATATTGCTGTTACTGTGTACAATGTTCTCCTGGTTCCGTTCATTTCACTATGCATTAGTTCATGTAAGTCTTTCCAGGTTATTTTAAATCATTCTACTTGTCCTTTCTTATAGCACAATAATATTCTATTACAATCATATACCACAGCCTGTTTAGTCATTCCCCAGTTGACAGGCATCCCTTTGATTTCCAATTCTTAGCCACTACAAAAAGAACTGCTATAAATATTTTTGTACAAATAGGTCCTTTTCTGGTTTTTTTGGTATCTTTGGGATATTGACCTAGTAGCAGTGGTTATACTGGATCAAAGGGTATGCATAGTTTTGTTAGCCCTTTGGGCATAGTTCTAAATTGTTCTCCAGAATGGTTGGATCAGTTCACAACTCCACCAGCAGTGCATTAGTGTCCCAGTTTTCCCACATCCCCTCCAACAGCCAACATTTTCCAATCTGACAGATGTAAGGTGGTACCTTGGTGTTGTTTTAATTTGTATTTCTCTAATCAATAGTGATTTAGAGCATTTTTTCATATGACTATAGATAACTTATTCTTTGTCTGAAAACTGCGTATTCATATCCTTTGGCAATATCAATTGGGGAATGACTTGTATTTTTATAAATTTGACCCAGTTCTCTATATATTTGAGAAATGAGGCCTTTATTAGAGATACTTGTTGCAAAAAAATTTCACCCAGTTTTCTGCTTTCTGCTTTTAATTTTGGTTACATTAGTTTTGTTTATGTAAAAACTTTTTAATTTATAGTCAAAATTTTACATTTTGTAATGCTTTGTATCTTCTCTGGTCCTAAATTTTTCCCTTATCCACAAATCTAACAGATAAACTATTCTATGCTCTCTTAATTTGCTTATGGTATCATTTAATTTGCATTTTAACTTTATCTTGGTATACAGTGTGATATGTTGGTCTGTACCTAGTTTCTGCCATACTGTTTTACAGTTTTCCCAGCAGTTTTTCTCAAATGATGAGTTTTTGTTCCAAAAGTTTGGATCTTTGGGTTTATCATATACTACATTACTATGGCCATTTACTATAATGTAAATTTTACCTAATCTATTCCACAGATCCACCACTCTATTTCTTAGCTAGTACCAGATTGTTTTGATAATTACCACTTTATAATATAGTTTGAGATCTGGAGATGATTCTAGAGGAGAAAGTGAGGCTGGTGACCTTGCACAGCTCTCCCTCACTTAAATCCAATTCACCTGCAATCGATGTCATGGTCCTCTTTAAGAATGAAAGACAAACAACAATGGCTAGACCACCTTTTTTTTGCATTTTTTTTCTTTGATTCCCTTGATATCCTTGAGCTTTTGTTATTCCAGATGAATTTTATTATTTTTTCCAGCTCTATAAAATAATTTTTGATAGTTTGATCGGTATGGCATTGAATAGATTAATTTAGGTAGAATTGTCATTTTTATTATATTGGCTTGGCCTGCCTATGAGCAATTAATATTTTTCCAATTGTTTAGATCTGACTTTATTTGTATGAAAAGTGTTTTATAGTGGTGTTCATATAGTTCCTGGGTTTGTCTTGGCAGGTAGGTTCCCAAGTATTTTATATTGTCTGTTATTTTAAATGGAATTTCTCTTTCTGTCTCTTCTGTCCAGAGAACAGGTGGGTCCTTCAGCATTGACAGTGAGGAGTATGAAGCCATGGGTGTGGAGGTCACGCTGCTGCCCAAGAAGCTCCAGTTCTTTTGTGACCCACGACAGAGGGAGAAGATGCTCCAGGTACCTGTGCAGTGACCATGGACAAGGGGACAGAAGTCGGCTCTCCTCGAAGAGTGATGGGGGCACTGTATGAATGTCGGGCTGTGCTCTGGGACCACACTCTGAATAGTAGCACCTTGTTATGTTGGGGGCTTCTTCTTGTGCAAAGTGCCCTTTGCCACTCAGAGCATTCCCAAACGTCCTGTTTACCATTTGTCGTGTTGCCATCTTCTATTAAAAGTATGCTTCAGTTTTTGTCTTGACAGTCTACCCTTTTGGATGTTGGTTTCCCCTGGTGCATATCCTGACTTTCAAGGAGTTTCTTACACTGCCAAACAGCACATGTTTAAATGGAAAAGGGTGGGGGCATCTTTTACCCCCAACGCCCACAGTGCTTCTCTGATGTGTCAGCATGACCAGAAGGTGACCCTTCTTCCTCAAGGCAATGCCAGTGGAATAGAAACTCAGTCAGATCCTACTCACCTGAGAAGGATTGAATGTGGGCTTGGTAGCGGACTCTGCTTCTGCTCTCTGGGGATAGTCTGGCCATTTCATCCCCAGTTTGGCTGCAAGAGATAACAACCTCTGGTCACCTACAGTAGTGTGTGGTTGTAGAGGGGTTTTTACTCAGTGGGACTATCTGCACTGATAAAATTACAGCTCCTTCAGGTATTAAGTCCACTCACTCCCTGTTGCCCTTTAGGGTGGCTCTTTTCCCTGGAGGCTTCTTCTGGCCCCAGTACTTCTTGAGGCGATGTACTTGTTTGCAAACCCTTATTTTCATTTTTCTCTTGACTTAACCCTGCCTTAACAGAAAACACATATATAGTGGCTTCTTCCTTAAGTTGAAGTATGACATTGTGATGCACCTGATTTTGAACCTTTAAATTAATATAAGCACAGTTCAGGAAAGGAAAAACAAAAAGTCCTGAAGGAAAATTGGCTTGGAGAAGAATTTCTCTCCAAACCTTCACGTTGCCTCCCATCACCCCCTGAAAAAACCACAACATACCTCCCCCCAAACTTGCCTAATTTGTCTTAATATATATTTCTATATTTCATTTGTGCTTCTTTCTCAAGTAGGAGCTTTAATAATAACTTACATTTATAACGATTTCTGGTTTTCAAAAATGCTTCCTTTGCTTATGAGATAAGGTGTATGTAAATATCCTCATTTTTCAGATAAAGAAAGATTCAATTAGGTTAAACAATTTGCTCATGGTCACATATCTAGTATTAGAACCTACATCTTCTGACTCTAGACGTGTTCTTTATTAAACTAGACTGCCTAATTTTAAGTAGGTTCAAATATTTTTAAAGATAACCTATCTATCACTCTTCTTCTCCTCAGCCCCTTCCCAGGGAGAAGTGATCACGATTGTAAAAAAGTAGTAATTTTGAGGACCTGAGTTCAAATCCAGCCTCAGACACTTGACACTTACTAGCTTTGTGACCAAGAGCAAATCACTTAACCCAGATTGCCTCAGCAAAAAGCCAAAAAAAAAAAATAGTAATTTCTAGTTGTAGCAAGAAGGGTCCCCAAATTTGGAGTCAGAAGACTAGGATGCAAATTCTGGCTGTCTTTTAGTAGCTTCTGCACCGTGGGCTAATTAAGTTTTTTTTTTTTGTTTTGTTTTTTGTTTTTTTGGCCTTCATTTGCTCATCTGCAAAATGAGAAATACTTGCACTACCTGCCTTACAGGGGCATTTTGAGAATCAGCTGACATAATGTATGTAAAAATATAAAGAGCTATTTAAATGTCAATTGTTTTCCCCCCTTTATGCAATATATAGGGTGTTTTCTGTAACATTCTGTTTTCTATAACAGAGCTTATACACAGCAAAAAACATTTATTTTCCTCCTTCCATGTTTTGACTTCTGAGTTTCTTTTCTGAAACAGAGCAGCTACATAGTTTTCTGGGCTTTTTTCTCCACTACTTTAGTCTTTTACCCAAATCGTGCATTTGGATGGATGGTGGAGAGCATGTATTGAACAGAATTAGTATTATATACTGCCACCATCCATTTTTGTTTTTAATGTTAACATTTTTAAGTGGAAGTACATTTCTGGTTTATATGTATTTTGTTTTCTGCGTTACATATATATATATATATATATATATATACACACACATATTTTCTACATTATACAGCTTTATTTTACTAGTGAAATTATAAGGCCAACTCTGCCTCTGAGTTTGCTCTTCTATCTCTTTGAGAATAGATATCCATATTGTGATGTTATTTCTTTGATTTTCTCCATACTATACCTTATCTTATTTTTTTTTTCTTTTTGGTGATGGTTGGGGTTAAGTGACTTGCCCAGGGTCACACAGCAAGAAAGTATCAAGTGTCTAAGGCTGGATTTCAACTTGGGTCCTCCTGACTCCAGAGCTGGGGCTGTATCTACTGTACCACCTGGCTGCCCCTAGACTTTGTCTTATAAAGAAACATCTGTAAGGATAATACTGGGCAGCAAGAAATCTGGTATCAAAATGTTCTACTTAGGACAACATTTCTATAAACGTGTTGATGGTTGTTTGCTTTGACAAGACACGAAAGAAGGAACAGACTGGGTTTTTTATTTGTTCCAAAGTTGCTTATCAATAGTAAATGGTCTCAGGATACAACACTGCCCTCTACCAAAAAAAAAAAATTGAATGAAATAAAACCTAACTTTTATCATTAACCAAATTTAGAAAATAGATTATTACATTAGAATAAAATTTTTAACAAATGATACTGGCAGTATGTCCCTGGATAAATGACTTAATTTTTTAGTACTGTAAGCTAGTATTGTCAAACTCAAATAGAAACTGGGTCACTACACTGTACATAAGGATCTCTTTGGGCTGCATATTTAAAAACTACATATTAACATCTGTGTTCTTTTGTATTTTTATTTGTTTAAATATTTCCCAATTACATTTTTATCAGGTGCAGCGCATTTGATACCTCTGCTGCAGGTAAACCTCAAGACAGGGATTCTTAACTTTTTGTGGAGTAGATCCCTTTGGTAGTCCAGTGAAGTAATACTGTGGTTTCTTGCCTATATTCGTAATTGGAAGACTCTCAATTTCAACTGGAATGAAAATTTAAAAAAAAATTTTTTTTTACTCCATTCAAGTTCACTACCACCTGAAATACATGGTTTGTGAATTCCCAGATTAAGAATCCATAAAATCCATAATCCAATAAAATTCTCTTACAGAGAAGAACCTGATAGGCAGGCATTAGCAAAGGAAGTTTCTTGTACCAGTAAAGTCAGTTTCAGTACCTACCCCCTAATATTTTCCACAAAAATATTTGTGGAACAAATGTTTGGTCTTAATTGCATCCCTTACTCCTGGAGCTGGAATATTCAACTGAAGTGGAATAATGAATCTTTCTCTTCAAGATGAGCTTGTAAATTTATCCTTTCTCCTTGACCTCATAGGGATGGCTATTGTTCCGAAAGGAATGGTGGACCTCTAGGAGCAGCAACCTTTCAGGCATCACCCAGGGATAAACATGCCCCAACATAAGCCCAGGCACAGGCAAGCCCCTTACCACCAACCACAGACTGATTACAACCCATGTATTCATGTTAAAACGTGAACTTTAATTGTAAAAACGATTTTCCATAACTCTGGTCATATCAGCCTCTGTAGACCACTTGGCTCAGATCTATACAGGTATGATATAAACTATACAGTAACCATTTGTACAACAGAACAAATTCAAGTGCCATTTTTGTCTTATCATTAGGGGTAACCCCAACCTTTGTTGGGCCTTTGGAATCGCCACAGCTAAGAGTTAGTAGGGTTTTGCAAGCATTGTCGTTGGAGTAGTATTTGCTTCCGTGGTTTCATATTTGGTAGGCAAACTCTTCAGGGAAAGGGGTTTTGGAGAGAAGGGAAAAACCGTCAGGTTTTTGTTATTGCTAGCAAGATGTTAATAGAAGTGCTTTCCATCTTTAAGGTGTTCAGGAGGCTGCACTGGTCATAGGGCAAGAGAAATCAGATTATATTCATCTACATCTGTTGTTTTTTCTTCAATTTAACCGGTGCTTCCAAGATGACCAAAGATTGACCTGAATGAAGTGAATAAACCTAATGGGGGGGGGAAGGTTTGGATGTTTCTTCTCCTCTCTCCCACCCCACCCCCTTGCCCTTCAACCTTTCCATCAGAACAAAGGGAGGCATTTGTTAACAGGAGTCGATCGGTCAGGAACATGCAGCTTTACTGCTTTCTAAGAAAATAGATTTCTTTTGTAGTTGGTGTAACTAGTTGTGTTATCTCCTTCAGGAATAACTAAACCTCATTTCCTAAGAAGAGAATATTCGTAATTGGATGACAACTATCCCTCTGCTAAGATGTTTAAATCATACTCCTGTGGCTTCTTTTAGGGCAGGTTTCCTTAATATAACAAAATTGCCTTCTTCCAGCATTGTAGTTTTGAAATCCCTTAAATATTTAGTCACTGATAGAAAAATAACTTTCCCTTTCCTGTAAGAAAAAAAATCAACTTGCAGGATTTTCTGACAATATTCAGTAATCTTCTGTAGCTCTTTAGAGCACAGACCTATTAGTAATCAAGATAAGATTTCTAATCACATCTTTTAAGGACATGCGGAAAGGCATGGACTCCACTCTCAAGTCAAATTGTGGTAGCATCACTTTTTAATAGGAAACAGTCCTGCAAGTCATCATAAAGGATGCGTGGGCTCTACAAAGGGAAGGGGGCTGCTCTGCACTCACAGTTCAGGGGATGGGGAGGTTGAAGCTTTTACCACCCAAAGCAAGGGATTCTTGGTCCCATCAGCCGAGTGCAAAGACAGACCTTGGGGATAAGACACCTATTCTTGGGTCTCCCCAGTTTTTTGCTTACTGCTATAGGGCATCAGATCTTGGGAGAACATTGACTCTTTGGGCCCCTCAATTCTTACAGGCTTGAGCTGTTGGGATTGGCAAGACCGCTGGCCCATCATGCCCGGAGAGCTCCACTATTGCCTAGAGTGTAAGTTTTTACCTTTCCTTAGCTGGGGAGCACCACTGCCATTAAAAGGTCAGTTTAGTTGTTGCTCTTCACAAGGGGTTTCCCCCAAAAGACTCCTTTAAAGGCAAGTAACTTCATAGTTCTAACTATTTTAAAGGATTTTCTAGTTTGCTCAAACATAAGCATCTTCAATTCTCATGCTTTTGTTAAAAAGAACAAGATAGCAGTAAGGTTTTAAATTTATCTTCATCCTCCACTGCTCAGGTTGAAATGTGATGGATCAGTAGTTGGTAGGGGAATTTTCACACTATATGGGTTTTTTACATACATGTTTTGGTCTCAAATTTTGCTTTATTTTACCATAGGGAAGAACAAGGTAAATTACATATGCAAATAAGTACCACAGATTCTACCTAGCAAATCCCTCATGTTCCTTTTAATCCCTAGCCTGCTTCTCCCCCCCCCAAAAAAAATAGGAATGAAAAACATCTGTGATGCTTTGATGGCTGATGCCCTATGAGAGCAAAATGTTTTCTACTTCAAGTCAGTGACCGTTTACTATGGTTCAATAGTGTATGAAGCCCCTGGTCTAATATTGCAAACCAAGAATGGTAATCACCATACTAGGGAGAAGGAATGCCTCAGGTCTAGCTAGATCAGAAAGCTCCAGACAGATCTGAATCCTGTCTCCTTTCCTTACACTGATGAGTACTGCCACTGTCTAACTCTTTGTAAAATGAACTGGACTTTAAAGCAAGAAGACATTTGGAGTCCACAGAATGACTTGTTCTGGCTAATGCCTCTTAAGTAGTTCTGACATCCTATGTACCTAAGTGGATGCCTTTCCATCATGAGGTCCAGGCCCTTGGTTTCCAGTCTGCTTTAAGGGAATTGATGGGGATGATTAGACATAGGTGCTTAAGCTCTGCAGGAATTAGAGGGTAAAGTCCTTACCTGCTAGCATAAGGCAAAATTAGTGAATATGACAGAAGAGGCTGGATTGTACCTCAGATTGAATATATATCCCCAAAGGTCTTTTTAAACCTCAGATCCTATGAATGTAGAGGCATTTTAAAGACAGTGGAGTAATAGAGGCAAAAAAGAAGGCCCACAGTGTTCCCAAGAGGAAGTTACAGATTTTTTTTCTTTACAAATACTTGTATCATTGGAACGCTGGCCACTGCACCCATAGCAAAAAAAAGAAATTCATTAAGTCTTTTGTCTATACTTGAAAGTATATACCCTGAATATGGAGAATGTGTTTGTATTACCATCAAGTATATCTGCATTTCACAGTACTCAAATTTCACATCCTAAAAGTCAGGCTCGGCCAACACTTCTAAAGAAAGCAGAAGCCTTTGTCATCCCTGATGGTAAAAAAAAATATAATTCATTTTTTCCTCATTGTTCTTCCCAACTATGTCAATTCATCTGGTGGATCATGGTTACGGTCACATATATTCATGTTAAAATAATATAGTGAGAGAAAGAAGGGGAGAAAGCACTTCCCAAGCCCAAGCTATGAAAACTGAGACCCAGGAGAAAGAATAGTTCCTACCCCACCATATCCATGGGCCTGGATTGTGAAAGGTCTCATTGTAGCTCCCACGAGCAGGCTGCTGACTGCAGCTGACTTAACAATTCCCCTCCTCTTCCCCCAAGTTAACAGGAGGGCAGTCACCCACCACTTTGAATATGGCTGTGAAAGGCATCCAGACAGAAAGCTCTGTGGGAACTTGGATGCATCCACAACTCGTGTTCACTAGTGTTCTTGATAACTCTACCCTGAGAGAAGGCACTGTTGAGATTCCTTCCTACCAAGGAAGGGAATAAATTAACTTCTCTGTCCCTGGCTTCAGTTACTAGACTCAAGAATGCCATTCATGGCCCTTCATACTAAAGATAAATAGGACCTTTAAAAGAGATCACATCTGTTTCCTTAGCTTTAATACTCTGACCAGTTGAAATAACCAGCCCTAGTACTCAGTAGATTTAGAGTCCAACCTTCCTTTCAGTTTCATGCCAGTTTTCTATCTTATAAAATAAACTCTGCTCTTTAAACCCAGTACACATAGCCCTCAGTGGAAACTAACCCGTGGGAAATTTTTGTCAAGGGCACGGTAGTCAATTCCTGCCCCCATCCAAGCTCTAGCATGAGCTATGTAGAATATAGAATGGAGAGAAAAGGGAATGAATGGCCTGTAGCAGTCCTGTAAAAGTGTTTCAGGGCCTCCTTCGACTCTTGCAAGTTTCTTATGACATTATACCAGTTTTCAGTAGTACTTAGGCTGAGACACATGCTTATGTCCTGCCCTACAGTCACTGCTACCAAAAGTGTACTTGCTTCCTTTAGTTGAAGCAACTGGCCACCAAACAGGAATTCACATGATGAAATCAGAGGATCAAAATCCTAAAATGCATCCAGGGACTTAAGGTATCTGGTCCCTTGCCTTCAGGTAAGGGTATATTTCAATCATACTGGACAGATAGTTGTCTTCTCTTGAACACTGCCAGTAACAGAAATAACCTTCCTGAAGTCTGTTCCAGTGTTTTAGAGAAGCGGGCTGTCCTGGTAACCAATCTTCCACTTGATCTCATCCCTGAGTCACTCTAGAAGATCTCCTTAAGAAATCAGCTTTCACTCTCACTTCCCAAGGTCAGACCAGGCCCAAAAACCTGGACAGTTTTGGGGTGAAAGTTCTATCAAAGCCAGAATACAAAACCAAGGTCGTTTAATTTGAGGGATAAGGAAGGGGGAAAAAAAGGAAAATGTAAAAGTTATGTTTGTTGAAAAGTATAAATAATGTTCTTTCATATAAACTTGTTAAATAAAAATGAAATCCTTTGGGAGCCAGTGGGGTGAATTCCAGGGGTGCGTGTCTCTTCACATGAGGGAGTCATTTCTTCACCAACCCTCTCTAAGGGCAGCAGGGATTATCGATGACTAGCATCACATCAATGCCATATGCTTCCAGCAAGTCCATAAGGAAGCTTCGGTCCCCTTGGGGATCCAGGCCCATTCCCCGGGCATGCTCTGCTGTCAGTGTCTTGTCCTGGCTTGCGGAGACCTCCAGCAAAGTCTGGAATATCCTGTTGTTCTGCTCCAAGAAAAACCTGTAATGCCCAAGTTATAGCATGAGAAATGGAACAAAGTTCACCCAAGTAATTACAAGAACACTCTCAAATGTGAGGAAACTATTGAAACTTTTGTTTTCAAGGTATTTTAAAGCATTCACTTTATAAACAGCGAAGGACTTTTTAAGGGGGCTGGAAGGGAGGGAAAGGGACCAATTACTTTTGCCAGGAGAGAGGGCTTTAAACTGAAAATGGAGAGAAAACTGTTCACATAGATCAACCAAGCCAAATTTGAAGAAGGTAACATGTGACATGAGATGAACAGTCATGGAAAGGTCCAAGAACTCATTGGAGAGAGGCTCCAGAAAGGGGTATTAATGATCCTTTAAGGAAGAGAGGTAAGGAGGAAAATGCATCTTAAAAACCTTAACTTCTTTCAAGGATCAATTTAAGGCCCTTTTCTTGAAGCTCTCACTAATTCCCTTAGTTGTTAGTGGGTTCTCCTGCCTACAATAATCCTGTATTTACTTCTTTTTCTATATATTAGGTACCCCTAATATAGGGGTTCCTAACCATTTTTTGTGCCGAGTCCTCTGTCAGTCTGATGAAGCCTGTGAAATTCCTTGCCTACATTCCTAACTGAAGGAAATGTTAAATTTCAATTAGTGAAAATTAAGGTGTAATTTTTTTTCCCTGCTTCCAGGTTCATAGACAACCCCCCCCCAAATCTATCCATGAACCCTCTTGGGGTTCAAAGATCCCAGGTCAAGAACCCTGGCCTAGGATAATACAAGCCCTTTGAAGGAAGGACTTTTGTTTTTTCTAGCACCTAGTGTAATGCCTTGTACACAGGGATAGATGATTTCCTTGGTATGGGAAGTCCCAGGTAAGGAAACTCCCCTATCAATACAGATAAGAACCTTCTCTGCAATTTCCAATCTTGAGAGAACTGCCTAGTACATCGAGAGGTTAAATGAGTTGCCCAAGATCACATAGCCAGAACATGTCAGAGGCCAAACTCAATTCCAACTTTACTATGGCATGATGCCTTATAAGTATAGGGGTTTAATAAAGATGTATTGAATTGCCTGACAGAATCATTGAAGATCATGAAAGGTCACAACAACTTAGAATGAATCTTATAAAGTGTTTTTAATACAGTTGAAATGAGTAAGTTGACATTTAATTGGTATAAATCTACAAATACAGAATGAGAGAGTAACATCAAGATAGCTGGAAGGAACTGATCTTAGGCTGAATTAATAGCTTAGTATCTAAAACCTGAAAATGAGCTAAAATAAAAACTTATAAACAATCTGTTTGAAAGAATGCCTATTAATAAGAACAGCCACTAATGGTTGGAATCACTAATCTTATTTCAATTAGAACTTTGCCCACAATTCTCTAAATTCTATTTTTTGACCTAGTGCTACCCTTAGAAAAATATGGCATTTTTTTGGAATGGCAAAAAACTGGAACCCATGGAGGTGTTATCAGTCAGGAAAGGGCTGAACAAATTGTGGCATACGAATGTAATGGAATACTATTGTGCCATAACGAAATGACAAAAACAATGGATTTGGAGAAACCTACGAAGACTTCTATGAACTGATGCAGAACAAAGGAGAATCAGGAAAACAACTTAGACTATTAACCAGCACTGCAAAAGGAACACCCCGACTCCTGAAAAGGGGCCAACTTACAAAACAAAGAGGTCTTCTTCACAAGGGTTGCAGTCCTCACCCACCTCCTGAGAGTACAACAGCATCTGCCTATTTTAAAGAAGAATGTAGTCAAGTACTTGCACCTGGACAGCAGACTGCCCGAGAATCCCAGGATATCATGCAGACAGCTGGGTGGTTATACTAGGCTCCCTGACCCAGCAGTGTGAAACCAGGTGAGTAAAAAATGGGAAAGAAGAACACAGAAAAGTATGGGCAAGGGAGAACTAATCAGAACTAGAACACAGGCCTTTCCCTTCTCTTTTCAAACTCAGTTTGCCCAGAGGTCATGCTAATTGCATCTCTCCTGCTTTTGCTTAAGAGGTAGGGCACTCTGGATGTGGAACCATATAAAGTAGATCAACAAGATTAAGTCCCGTGATTCTCATCAAGTTGGGCAAAAAAGGGAGCAGCATTATAGAAGGAGCCTGCCTTCCTTAGGAGGAGGTTCTTCTTTTACTTCCCTTCCTTTAAGTATTACACAGCTAGTTCTGAATGGGCAGAAAAGTTCCCAGAGTGGGTAGGACAGAAAACCTGTATATTTCCTATTTACAAAATGAAAGGCCATCCCCTTCTCCCACTGTTGAATTCCTGTTGGAGTCTCCATTCCCCTTCTGGCCTGGTTCCTAATCTTCTGGACGATGGCACTACCTCTGTACCTCCTTTATTAATTTAATCTTTTCCACTCCCTTTTCTGTTTTTATCTCTAGTGCTTAGTAGAGTACCTGGCACATAGTAGTGCTCAATGGTTCTTTCCCTTCCTCCTTTTCTTCTGGTATGAGAAATATAACAAGTAGTCCTGGGCTGAAGAGTAGAATAATAATATATCTCCATTCTCCCTGTACCTTCTCATTTCCAAAGCAGGTTGCCCACATTTTACCCCCGCCCATCCTACCACTCACACCCGCACCTCCCCCCTACCTCTGCTCATTAAGTCTCCGGTATTTTTCTTTATCAGCACTGTTGAGCTTAAGCAGTGGCTGCAGGTGTTCGTGGTGTGTCTTCACATTCTGGTTGTCCACATAAACATCATACAAATCATGCTTCTCTTCAAAGATCTTCTCTGTTGTACCTGTAGAAGCCAAGGTCAACAATCAGGAAACCAGGTTGTGGTTTCATAGTTTCATCAGGGAATTCCATAACAGTTTCAAAGTCATCCAGGAATAAGGAGGAAACGGGACCTGATGAAA